GTGATGGATTGCATGTACATGTGAGAAGAGAGTTATAAATGACCTCGTTGATTTTATCTTGCAACTGGAAAGACAAAATTGCAGCCAGCTGTGATGGAGGAATGGTAGGCACTGCAGTTGCAATATCAAGGGGCAACTCAGGGATGGTTTTCAATTAAATTACTAAATACCAGATTTCCTTATAACATTTTCATACATCCTTTTGTTTTGATTGATCCTCCTGCCTCCAAGATATTCTTTCATCTTCTTGCCCCTCCTTTTCCCTGCTTGTATTCTGTTGCCCACAGTATTCCCCCTTCCACATTAATATTCCATATTCTGTTGTCTTCCCCCCCCTTCCCAGGCAAGGGCCCCTTTTTAGTTTCTTGTTCTATGGTCCTATTTACTTCCTCCTAGATGCACAGGTTTTATAACTAGAACCTAGGACTTGGCAGGTTGTAGCAGCTCACACTGATTGAATATGCTGAAGAGAAGGAAGCAGGAGGCTCACTAGTTAGAGGCCAGCCTGGCCCATTTTGGGCTGGAGAGAGACTTACCTCTTAAAAGCATTGGGTGCTCTTCCAGAGGACCTGGGTCAGTGCTCACAACTGCTTTAACAGCTGCTCTCAGGAAATCTGATGCTCTCCTTTGGTCTCTAGATACTAGGCATGCATGTGGTGTACAGATACACATACAGGGGAAAGATGCACCCACACACATAAAATAAAAAGAACACTTAAAACTGGCATTTGAACATGCAAGAGAATAGATGGTGGTTGTCCTTCCGAGCCTGAGTTACATCACTTAATGCTTTCTAGTTCTTCCCGTTTCCTGTAGATTTCCTAACTTCATTTTTTTTTCTGTGTGTATATGTGTGGCTGAATTAAGTATCTTTGGTTTATATCCTGTGTTGTCATTATCCATTCATCCATTTGCTGGTGGACATCTGGGCTGATTCTGTTTCTTTACTATTCTTAAGTTATCAGTGATAAATATGGATTTACAAGTATCTCTGAGTATGATATAGCCCTTTAGGTATATTCCATGGAGTGTATAGCTGGTTGTATGGTAGTTCTGTTTTCAGTGTTTGGGGAAGCTTCCACACTGATTTCTGTAGTGACTGTATCAGTGAATAAATTTATTATTACTTTTTCCTCATACCCTCCCCCACATTTATCTTTCTTGATTGTAGTCATTCTGACTGGAATGAGGTAGATCTCAAAGTAGTTGTAATGTATGTTTCTTTGATGACCATATATGTTTTCTATGAGAAGTGTTCAGCTCATTGACTACTTACCTTTCTGATTGCAGGTTTGTATATATGTGTGTATGTGTTTAATTTTTGCAATTCTTTATATATTCTAGATATTAAACACTTGTCTGAAATATAGCTGACAAAGATTTTTCCCCCATTTTCTAGGTTATTTCAGGAACTTGGAGTTTTTGCTTAATTGCTTGCTTGCTTTCTTGTTTGAGATACCAACATCTTATCCAGTTATTTGTAAGAGTTCTGAGTTAAGTTATAAAAACTTAACAGTTCTAGAGGAATACATTTGAAAGTTGTCACCATATGGGTGATATGTCAGGACAAAGATTAGGTGTATTCACTAAGGTCATAACCTTAAAGGAAAAGCCCAAAGAATGAGGCCTAATTGTACCTTACAACCTTAAAAGATCTAGAAGAGTAGGAAAAAGGATAGGAAGTAACCAGTATGATAAAATCATTTTCTTTACTACATTGATGTGTGCGCATGCCTGACTGTGTGCATGTGCAAGTGAGTGTGTGTGTGCCAGTGAGTGTGTGTGTGCCAGCCTGCTTGCTTACCTCTCTTGTCTTGTCTGTCTTTGTACATGTGTGCTCATGAAATTCGTAGGTTGAAGTCAGGTATCTTTCTTAGCTGCTCACCACCTTACTTCTTTGAGACAAGGCCTTTAATTGAACCTGGAAATGACTGATTTGGCTAGAATAACTATATATCAAACCCTTGGCTCCTTCCTTCCCCCACCTTCCCAGAGCTGGGATTACAGACATGAGGTTTCATGCCCGACTTTTCTACACAAGTGCTGAAGATCCAGATTCACATAACCTCATTCTTTTTTTCTTTAAATTTATTTATTATGTATACAATATTCTGTCTGTGTGTATGTCTGCAGGCCAGAAGAGGGCACCAGACCTCATTAGATATGGTTGTGAGCCACCATGTGGTTGCCGGGAATTGAACTCCGGACCTTTGGAAGAGCAGGCAATGCTCTTAACCACTGAGCCATCTCTCCAGCCCCCATAACCTCATTCTTGAACCGCAAGCACTTTACTGATTGAGCCATCTCCCCAGCCCACTTACCAAATATAAATTTTGATAAAGTCCTAGTATTTGTAGTTCATGTCTTCCACTTTGTATTTGGACCATGTTTGCTGAATAATAAAGTAAAAATATTTTTGAGTTTGAGGTACTTGAACAAAGCCTAGTTTTTTTTTAAAAAAAAGTGTTAATATAACATTAAGACAAGGATAGAAATTACAGATAAAGTTTTGAAGGTTAAGACATCTCTTACATTATACAATTTGGTAGAATTTAGCACATTTTAAGTTTTATTTCACCATTACCAGTACTATATAGAATATTTTCATCAGTCTGTAAAGAATTCCTGTCCCTTGCCTAACATGTTGTGTGACTTTTTTCTATGGAGATGTGGGTAAACATTTTTTTTCCTCACCTCAGATAGTGTACCAAAGACAGACCAAAGAAATTATTCCAAGGTCTAGTGTTCTTAGCCAGTGCGTTTACTGGAATTGCTTACCCAGAAGGGCAGCTGTATCACCAAAAGCTGGTGACAGCTCATGATTTGTCACCTGACTTCTATTGAGCTTGTAGGGAAGCTCCACTAGAGTCTCTTCTTTCCTAGATTGTTTACTATTTACATATAATCTTGGGGAAAGGTTGTGACTCTTCTAAAGTTTGATGAGCCTTCTAAGTCTGTGAACCTCAATTTTAAGTTTCAGTTTGGAGGAAGTAGCTGCATAACACCAGATAACCTCTTATCCTCTTTGATTCTGCAAAGATTTGTTTATTGTTGGTTTTTCAAATAAACAAAACTATATGACCTTTTGTGTCCAGCTTCCTTCTCTTAGCATATTTTCAGTACTCATCCTTGTTGTACCATATATTGATATTCTATTGTGTGAACATACTATATTATGTTCATTATGCTTACACATTCATTTATTATTGATGGACATCTGGGCTCTTCTACATAGTATGAGTATTCATGTATAACATTTAATTTGAACATATATTTTACATGCTTTTACATATATACCTAGTGGAACTTCTGGGTCATTTATAATACTGTGTGTAACATTTTGAGGACCCACCACGTTTTCTATAGTTGACTATGTGCTCTTATCAGCAATATATATATTCTCAGCATCCACATTGGAATTTGTACTTTCATGTGCTGCAATTGGTCAGGTCTCTTAGACAGATTCCTCTTCCTAGTTCCTTGGACTTGCTTTTCTTCCTGATAAATTTTTATTATACTGGCATTTCTTTAAAGTTCTCTTAATGTGAGGTTTTTTTTTCTTTGATGCTTCCCATCATTAAATTCAAGTTGTATGCTTTTGCATTCTTTTCTCAATTGCCATATGACGAGGCTAACTGGTAACTGCTAATAAGTCTAAAACATGTCATTTAGAAGGTGCTCATCATATTCAGTTACTCTTCGTTATTCTATAAAGTATCTTGTAGGGGAATCGTTTTCAGTATACTGTACTTTTACCTACTAATTCTGGCATCTATTAGTGATTTTTTTTTTGATGATGCTGGAGATTAAACCCAGGATGACCTTGCATATGTTAAGCACGCATCCTACCACACCCAATTCATTGGTGAGTTTTGACCAAAATAGTATGCTAGTTGTGGATTTTGCATCATTCGTTTTATCATGTAGAACTCCACACTTAGTGTCACAGCAAATTTGTTGTTTATTTTTTGTTTTTTACGTAGGATCTTGTGATGAAATTGATATGATCTTAAATAACCCTAAAGTGACAACTCTATTGGATAATCATTATGATAATGAAAGAGGCTATATAAAATTCATTCAGAAGATGCTTTTCAAAAGTTCCTAATTAGTGTTCATTTAGAAAAGAATAATTCAAGTAATTAAAATTGATCTGTGGTCTGCTGCCAATCACCAATTAATTGTTCCTATATTTTTGGTATGATAAATTAATGAAGTTAAAATTTGACATCACAGTAATTTAAAGGTATATTGCAAATATACAGGTATATTACAGATTGGAAATTTAAAAAAAATCTTTTACTTCACTGGTCTGAAGAACATGTAGAAAATAAAATGCCCAGTAGGTCTTTTGAAGCATGATAGTGTGCAGAAATCACTGTGGCCCTTAAATAGTTACATTGTAAGTATGTCACTGGATTATGTGAAGTAAGAAGGTTCGAAGAAAAGGGAAGTGAAAACATGGGAAGGTATGGGAAACCGTTTATATTAGAAGTGGACAGTACTACTGCCTTAGGGCACATTTTAGGGTATATTTTCCATCCTTTCCTCCTGAAGGTTTGTTTGCATCTCTGTTCCTTTTATACACATAGGGACCAGCCCAATCTGGAACCCTCCATTTTAAAAGCTGTTTTCTTTTTCCCTGAGGGAAAAAATAGAATGTTAAATGTTTTGCCTTTTGCATCTTTTATCATTAACTAGTTCATAGGAAAGGTACTGATTTCCAGAAGTGCTAAGAAAAGGCAGAAAAACTAATCAAAGTATTTAGCAGCCATAGAGAGGCAAATGAAAGAAAATTGAAAGGGAGATAGACAAATTGTGGTGAGAGTGGCCAGATTTGCATTGATGTGTCAGTTTCCTGAGTTCTTGATTAGTTGGTAATTAGTTTCTGAATTGCCACAATGTCTTTATTATTATTATTTTGGCCTTTGTAATACCTCTCTTCCCCAAGCCTGACGTATCTATAATATATCCTATTAATTTGGTTGTTTGTTTTCTAGGAATCCAAGAATTTCCTGAAAATATTAAAAATTGTAAAGTTTTGACAGTTGTGGAGGCCAGTGTAAACCCTATTTCTAAGTAAGTCTTTCAGTTAAATTATAAACTACTTTCTTGACTTTAAACAATTGCAGAGCAGTAGTAGAATGTAGATTGTTTCTTTAGACACTTGAAGAAAAATTGGATCAATCTTAGTTATACAGAGAGTCAGGGTTTTGTTTATTTGTTTGGTGTGTGTGTGTGTGTGTGTGTGTGTGTGTGTGTGTATTTACCTGATTGTATGTCTGTCTACCATATGTGCTCCCCACCCCGTGTGTGTGTGTGTGTGTGTGTGTGTGTGTGTGTGTGAGAGAGAGAGAGAGAGAGAGAGAGAGAGAGAATATGAGTGTGTACAAAGTGTTTTGCCTGCATGGTCTATGTACCATGTATGTCCCTGGTATCTGAGGAGACCAGAAGAGGGCCTTCAATCCCTTGGAACTGAAGTAACATAGTTTTGAGTCACCTTTGTGTTCTGGGAATCAAAGCTGTATTCTCTGGAAGAACAGCCAGTGTTCTCAAACTCTTAAGTGGTCTCTCCAGCCCCGTGGAGATTCAGTTTTAGACACCTTCTAATAATCTTTCTAACCAGTATACTACAGGTATAAATTTGAGATCCAAAAGAAAGAATATGAGTGTTCTAGGTCTTATAATCAAAGTAAAAAGTGGACTAATATATGCCTATATCATGCAATCAGATGGGGCACTTTCAAAACAAACTAAAAGAAAACTGAAGAAAAATACAGGTGATTGGTTACAATATGTACCTGAGGTTATGTGTTCTTTTAGGATAGTAAAGTCTGTAAACAGTTTTCTTTGTACCAGAGCTGTTAATTTTTGCAAAATTGTAATGTTAGTGATGCTAAAGGTAAATAGAATGAAGCACAGCTTAGTATAACCATGTTGAAAGTATAACCAGAATACTCATTCCATGGTAAGTTTTACCAAAAATAGAGCTGCGTTACTTGGTATTGAAGATGGTGGAATGTTGTGAGTAAAGGAAAAATAAACAGGTCAGAGTCTGATATGTCTTGCACCATGGATTTTATGCTTGTCACAATCCAATAAAAATATTTAAAGATGAAATAGATACTCATTTGAAAATATTATTTATAACATCAAGTTGTACATCAGTAACTTATTTATGAACATATGTAATAGAAGTATAAAGAACATGTATTCTTATCTGGCCTTAATCTGTCATTCACCACTTCAGTTTCTCCTATGCTCATTATAAAGCTCTACAGCCTTAATCATTTATATATCAAAACTTGAAACTGAAAATAATATAAACCTAGTGGTTCTTTAATATTAGGAAATATGGCATCCTTGGAGATTTTGGTTTTCACAGTGGGCATGTGATTGTGTGTGTGTGTGTGTGTGTGTGTACACTGATGCTACTGGCTTCTAACTGTAGCATCAGGGTTTATAGCTTTACATCCTACAGGACCAATTCTCAAAACAGAATCATTCATCTTGCTACATTATTAGTATTTAGAAATTCTTTATGTAGTCCTTTTAGTTTATGCTGGATGAGATATATTTGAAAGGTACCTGATGATTTATAGTTATGTTCTTCATTCTGTATTTTTGGCTCATTCTAAATGTACTATTTTGTGCACATTTTATGATACTAAGACAAATTTTATCTTCCTTTGTACAAAAACATGCAGTTACTAGTTTTACAACAGGTAAGTTGTTAGAAAAAGAAAGCTTAATGTAAAGATCACTAATAAAAGTTAAGAGGTAACTATTATTTGTTGAGAAGTTATCTTTATTATACTGAGTGAAGTTTTTGGCAAGAAACTGACGTTTTCAAATACACTTAATTTAATTCTTTTACATTTTACATAGACTTCCTGATGGGTTTTCTCAACTGCTAAACCTGACCCAATTATATCTGAATGATGCTTTCCTCGAATTCTTACCAGCTAATTTTGGCAGGTAAATTACATTCTAAAGACATTTATTTATATTGTTAGCTTCTGTAAAATTCACATGACTGCAAAGTACTTTGCTAACACTCATTTCATAAACCTTTCTTTTGTAATTATTTCCAAGTTTTGCAGTTCTTGTAGTTCCTTTGAATCATTTCTACTTTTGTTTACTATCCCAAATAAATAGTAAATACAAATTTAAGCAGACTTAATGTTCTTAAAACTGGAAAAAACAGATGTTTTTAATGGGAGCAATGTCTCTATATTTGAGATACTGAATACTGTGTTAGCATTTATGAAACTCTAAAGTGACTTAACAGTTTAGCAGTTTTCCTTTTAGAAACCAAAGTTTCTAAGAAAGGGGAATCTATTTCTGAGGTCTCTTTCATCTTTCTGTATCCACCCTCAACTGTCGAATGTTTTTCCTTCATGGTCCTTAATGTTCCCTTATTCATATAGATGTGTATTATTGTCCTATAATCCTGAGGTGGCAAGCAGTTTTGTAGGTATTTTCAGTAAAAGACATAGAATTTATTCCAGGATTGAAAAATTAGGGATAACCACTTTGTTCCTTTGAAAAGGAATTAAAGTGGCTTACCTAGTGCCAGTGAGAAAGCTCAGCAGGTAAAGGCACTTGCTGTGCAAGCCCTGTATCCTGAGCCAGACCTCTGGAGCCAAGTGGAAAGAAGGAACTGACTGCATAGAGTTTTTCTTTGACTTTTGAATGTGTACTGTGGCATGTGAACACAAAAACACAGAATGCACATGCAGTAATCAAAAACAAAAATGTTTTTTTTAAATTGTGCTTATTTTTTTTCTTTCTTGATTTTGAGGAGCAGTCTGTTTTGTTTTAATCAAGATCTTACTGTATAACCCCAACTGCCCTAGAGCTTTCTTCTATGTAGATCATGCTGTCCTTGAACTCATAGAGATCCAGCTTCTGCCTCTAGAATGCTGGAATTAAAGGCTGCACCTCCATGCCTAGCTCTATTAAAATTATTTTTCTTCTTTCATATTTAATATTACATGTAGTAACTATGTAGTTGATGCTGCTTTACTTTAGAATTTGACAAATGTTAATGCAGTTCCTTATATTTGATTCTTTTGTCTTGCTTTATTCTTTGTTTTACAGATTAACTAAGCTCCAGATACTAGAACTTAGAGAAAACCAGTTGAAAATGTTGCCTAAGTAAGTCAGTATGCTTCTCTTTAAAAATCCAATTAGAGGGGCTGGAGAGATAGCTCAGTGGTTAAGAGTACTGACTGCTCTTCCAGAGGACCCGGGTTCAATTCCCAGCACCCACATGGCAGCTCACAACTGTCTGAAGATCCAGTTGCAGGGGGTCTGACACCTTCACACCAATGCACATAAAATAAAGTTAAATAAACCATAAAAAATAAAAAAAAAAGAATTTGAAGCTGTTTATTATAAAAAAAAATCCAATTAGAGTTTTTAATCTTTAGGCCATAAAACAAATTTTACTTAAAATATGAACATACATTATTTTGAAAGGCATGTTTTGATACAATTCTTGGTATTAAACATAAAAATATATGAATTTGTTGGTTTTCAATATGGTAGTATGATAACACTGATTTCATCTTTCTTTGAGCCACAATCTTTTTATATGTGACATAGCAGTGAAAATATCGAGTAAGAAAATCTGAATCTCAGACAGAGAGATTCTATCTGAGAGTTCATACTTGCACATCATTCAGAGTGGTTCGTGAGATCTTTGTGACGTTTTGTAACTACAGAACTTTATTGTATGGTTTTATAGTCTGTTGTAAATCTAGAAATGAGCCTTTGGTTCTCTAATATAAGCTGACACCAAGAAGAAAGGGCTTCATAAGAGCAAATAGTAATATAAGAGTATTTAAAAGACAGAACTTCCAATTCAAAATAGACTGTAGTCATTGGCCATTTACTGAATATAGAACCTTGAATGCATCGCTATATAGTTTAGTAGTTAGTCTATGGTTAAATATAAATATACAGTCCATATTTAGAAATAAAATTTCAGTGGAACACATCCACAGTTATTAAATTTTCTCTGGTTGCTTTTTCTTTTCCTTTTTTAAAAATTTTAATGTATCTTTATTTCTATTATACCCTTCTCTGGTTAACATGTACACATCATGCATACATACTCCTACCCACACATGATTATATGTCTTTGAAGACAGAGACCATATTTTTTATTCCAAGTGACTGTGCTAGGACTGGAGAGATGGCTCAACAGTGAAGAACACTGGCTACTCTTATAGAGGTCCTGAGTTCAATTCCCAGCACCCACATGTTGACTCACAACCATCTGTAATGAGATCTGGTACCCTCTTCTGACCTGTAGGCATACATGTAGAAAGAACACTGTATGTATAATAAATAAATAAATAAATCTTAATAAATCTTAAAGTGACTGTGCTAAGCCTAGTGGTTGTTTTTATTATGTGAATGAAGTTTGTGGTAGTGCAAATAAATGTAAATTAGAGAATAATTTATATTACGATTTTGTGAGATATATTTCTGATTTGGTTCTGGCCTAGTTCAAAGTTCTACTGGATAAGAAGAAACGTGAAAAAGCTAGATAAAAATTGTAATAGCTAATGACAAAAACTAGCTGTCACTGTGACAAAATGCCTGATAAAAACTGTTTTGCTTTATTCAAATATTTTATCACAGTAATGAGAAAAGTAACTAATACAGACACTTCCCGCCAAACACTTGGACAGAAAGCAGTTGTGCAGTTTCCACTTATTATTCATTCATTCTTTGTTTCTCTCTCATCTGTATGTGCACGCATGCGCACGTTCTTGTGTTCCTTTATGCCATTGATTGTGGAAGTCAGAGGACAGCTTACCAGAGGCTGTTCTTTTCTTCTGCCATGTGGGCTGTGCGAGTCAATCTCAAGTCGTCAGGCTTCGTGGCAAGTGTTCCTGTGATACAAACTTTTTAGGAAGGGTTTATTTTAGTCATAATGTTTGTTGATCTCTGGCTTTTTGGCTTTTGTGGAGAAGCAACACTTTGGTGAGGAGTGCAAGGTTCACCTTGTGACATTTTAGAATTACAGAGAAAAACAGGAGTGGAACAGAAGGGTCCTTATGACCTCTTCTTTGCCCTCCACCAGTGTGACTTCCACGAAGCCCCTTTCTAAAGCATACTTCTGAGTATACTACATGCTAGGGACCAAGCCTACAACATATAGACCTATAAGGGGACATAGGAGATGCAATCTGTAGCCTGTGAACCATCTGATACCTGATGGACCATTTGAATTTTAACTCTTTAGAGATTCAATTAAGTTGTATAAATGAATTTGTAAATGTTTTTCTTTTTTTATTTTGAAGCTATATGATTAAAATGTTTGTAACTTTATAAGATATAGTTTTACTATTAAGATATACATGTACGCTTAGACTATGTAACCAGACTTTAAATTTAAAAAATAAGTGTTGGATGTGGTGGCACATGTCTTTAATCTCAGTGCCCAGTAGTAGAGGCAGGCGATCTCTGTGAGTTTAAGGTCAGCCTGGTCTACAGAGTGAGTGTCAGGACAGTCAGGGCTGCACAGAGAAACCCTGAAAAAGAAAGGAAAAAACTGTGTGCAGAGTGAGAGGGAGCTGGGCGCTGGGAGTAGAACTCAGGTTGTCAGACTTGGCAGCAAGTGTCCTCACCCACCGAGTCTTCCTTCAGACTTAACTTTTTGTGATGACAACTTGTTTTACATATACAGTTAAATATATATAAATGAAAGTTAATATTGCATAAAGGAGTCTGAAGGGCACTGACAAGTTTTGAAGGGCAGTCTAATTTTTCCTTGAATTAGCGGACATGTTCTTATTCTAGTTTGCATTTTTCCCTGAAGTTCTGAAGTATACAAGTAGATCCAAAGTTGCTAATAACAACAGAAGTAAGTGGAGATTACTTGTAATGGGTTTCCTCCTTCTGTCCCTCCAGTGTCTGTAGTGGAGCTTTTCCAATGCTCTGCTGTTTGTCTTTGTACTACGAAATGAAAGTGGTAGGTTTACTATCTTCAAGCAGCCCTCCTGTTTATTATGTATCCTGATGCTACAAGTAAATTTCCGTCACCTTGTCAGTTTGACAGTGTCGGAACAGGACTTGGTCTGTGTTCTTCAGGTGTCTCCTCCCAGCACCCCTCTTTTCTCAGATCCCCACCTGCACAGCAGTTTGAAGATAGCAACTTGATAACAGAGCATGTGATTGTATACATTTGATAAAGACCCTGGAATTTCTTTGTGTGGTTTATGAAGGAAACTAGAACTTGTAGGCTTTGTAGACAAAGGTCAACATGAATGAGGGAAATAGAACTGTAGTCCAGCAGATAGGACCTCGGTAAATCTTACATAAAGTGACTTGGATAAAGATAGGTGTTGTGAAATGAATTAAAGAGGAGGTGTTTTTATTAAATTAAAGAATGTTAAGAATTAAGGAATGTTATGTTTAAAATGTATGGATTGGAAAAAGTAGCTATATTCAATTTAGGTCCATAAAATTGTTCCATCACAGTATGATGTATATTCTTTTACTGAAAAGCTGAAAAACATTTTAACTGAATTTTACTTTTTATTTTTACACATTTGAACATTCAAAGAAGATAAAATTCCGTAATCTTTCACTGTATTTTTAAGTTTCTTTGTTTTTTAAGCTTTCATTTCCAAGATAATGTTTGAATATATTATACTAATGATAATTTGATACACATTGCATTATTTTGCCTTAATGTTATGAAGTCTTAATGTTATGAGTAACACAGACTTTTCTGTATAGTTGATAGTGCCTCAGTGTATATAAAAAGATATCTCTAAGCAATTCAAGGGCATAAATACACATTTGAATGAATTCACAGTTAATTTTGTTTAAAAGATATTCTTGTAGAAGAAGAAATAAAATTGCAGCATATTTTTTTTGTTTCAGAATCTGTTATTTTTTTAGTTTATTTTGTTTTTAGATTTATTCATTTTATGTGTATGAGTGTTTTGCCTGTATGTGCCTGGTGCCTCCAGAGATCAGGAGAGTGGCAGGCCAGATCTCCTGGAACTGGAGTTAGGTATGGTTGTGAGCTACCATGTGGGTGCTAGGAACTGACTGTGGGTTCTCTGAACCAACTCCCCTTTCCTTTTTAATTTTTTTTCTTATAGAGAAGTACTGACATTTATGTGTGTGGGGGGGGAGTTGAACATGATATATTACTGCTTTAACTTAAAAATTTTTTCTTACTAGATTTACTCACTTTATGTGAGTGTTTTGCCTGCACCCACATGAGTCTGTGGTGCTCGGAAGAGAGCATTGATTGAATCCCCTAGAAATGCAATTGTGGATGGCTGTGGGTTCTGGGAATTGACCCCAAGTGTCCTGCGTGATGAATAAGTGCTTGTAACAACTGTGCCATCTCTCCATCCCATATTGCCTTAATAAACTTAATATCTAATTCTACTTGGATTCTTAACAAACCCTTACTTTGAATTGTATTGATTTGGCTTGAGCATATGCGGAGTAATTTAACATTTGAAAATTACTTTTTAGAGTTATAGTTGTCTTTAAGTTTTACAAATGTATAAGCAGCCCAGAAAAAAGACTTCTTGAAATTGTGGTGGTAATGATTATGCATCTGCCAAATAGTCTAATTATATGATATCTTATTCTATGAAAAGTTGAAATTAAAGCGATAAATTGACAGCTTATGTAAATATTAAAAAATGTTTTTCTTTGGAAATAGTATGCTGAAAGGTCTACACATCATATAAGTATATTTTAAACTATAAGGTTTGAGTGTCTATGTAATTTATGTTTTTGTGTCATTAATTCTTTGTTACTCCATTGTCAATAGAACCATGAATAGACTGACCCAGCTGGAAAGACTGGATCTGGGAAGTAATGAATTCACAGAAGTGGTAAGTCCTCACCAGTCTCACCAGTCTTTAGTCTTGCATTTGTTCAGGGGCACGATGCAGAATTAACATTAGGAGAAACTGCACATGCTTTTAAAGAAAATTCTTAACCTGAACTTTCCAGTCCATGAGAAAAGTTAACCCAAGGGAAATCTGGAAATGGTTAGACAAAATAGGAAATTGTTTTTAAGTTTGCATTGAGGTCCGTTAGTTGAATTTGTTCTTTGTGTTCTGAGTGAACTGTGGTACTGGATTTATAAGGAGTGGAGTAAGCATGCAGATTTGTATCTAAGTAAGTTCTCAGAAAGTAAGCCAAATGGGTTTAAAGAAATATCATTAACTGAACTCACATTTAAATTTTTTTCTTTTTATTATCATTATTATTAGTTTATAAAATTTCCGTTTCTGCCCCTCCTCCCCTCCCAATACCCTCCCACACCCCGCACTCCCTCTGCTCCTCCCTCTCCAGTCCTAAGAGCAGTCAGAGTTTCCTGCCCTGTGGGAAATTCAAGTTCCTCACCCCCTCCCTCTAGGTCTAGGAAGCTGAGCATCCAAACAGACTAGGATCCCAAAAAGCCAGTACATGCAGAGGAAACAAGTCCCAGTGCCATTATCAATGGCTTCTCAGTCAGCCCCCATGTCAGCCACATTCAGAGAATCCGGTTTGATCGCATGCTCATTCAGTCCCAGTCCAGCTGGCCTTGGTGAGCTCACATTAGATCAGTCCCCTTGTATCAGTGGGTGAACGCACCCCTCGCGGTCCTGACTTCCTTGTTCATGTTCTCCCTTCTTCTGCTCCTCATTTGGACCTTGGGGGCTCAGTCCAGTGCTCCAGTGTGGGTCTCTGTCTCAATCTCCATCCATCGTCGGATGAAGGTTCCCTCTGATCCTGACTTCCTTGCCCATGTTCTCCCTCCTTCTGCTTCTCATTTGGACCTAGGAAGTTAAGTCCAGTGTTCCAATGTGGGTCTCTCTCTCTCTATCTCCATCCATCGCCAGATGAAGGTTCTATGGTGATATGCAAAATATTCATCAGTATGGTTATGGGCCAAGGCCAGTTCAGGCTCCCTCTCCTCTGCTGTCCAGGGAACAATCTGGGGATCTCTCCTTGGACCAGGGAACCCCTCTAGAATCAAGTCTCTTGCAAACCCTAAAATGGCTCCCTTAGTTGAGATATATACTTCCCTGCTCCCATATCCATCCTTCCTCCCTCCCCCCATCCCATTCCCCCAAGCTTTCCCCAATCCCACCTTACTCCCTTCTCTCTAACCATCTCCCCTTCCTTCCACCCACCGCCCCCTCCACCCCCGTGCACCCAAGGTTGCCTGGCAATCTTGTCTACTTCCAATATCCAGGAGGATAACTATATGATTTTCTTCAGGTTCACCTAAAATTTTTGATTGCAAGTCTGTTGTTCAAAATTAGGGCATCTTTCAAATGGTAATGTTAAGAATAAGAATTTCTGTTGTGGGTTTTGTGCATTTCAACTGTAATCAGTATGATACTGTGGTATTTGACCTTACAACCTTTTCTAAAGTACTTTTGCATATCCTTTTTGAAAAAATTATTGAAATTTTTAATTTTATATGTATGGGTGTTTTGCCTTCATGTGTGACTTGTCTACCGTTTGCATGCCTGGTGCCTGAGGAGGTTGAAAGAGAGTGCTAGATCCCTGGAACTGAAATTACAGACAGTTTGAGCCAGCATGTTCTGGAAATCAAACTCAAGTCCTCTGAAATAGCCGCCAGTACTCTTATCCACTGACCCATCTCTCCAGCCTAATTTTTCATATTCTAATTTAAGATGGTTTTTGATAGATTTCACTGTATTTGCAGAGTTTTACTTATTGTGAAAAAGTACATGCTTTGCTTCCTAAGTTACCCTATATGACCTTATCTTTTCTTTTTTAATGTATTAACTTTAATATAAAGCAGTGTGAATCTTGTTTTACTAGTTTTGTGAATCCTATTGGCTTTCAAAAATCATCTTTTTTCCTACCCATTTTGATCTCTATTAATATCACACATGGGGAAAAATAAAAGCCAGGTGATGGCAGCACATGCTTTTATCCTAGCCCTTGGGAGGCAGAGACAGGCAGACCTCTGTGAGTTCGTGCCCAGCCTGGTCTACAGAGCAAGTTCCAGGACAGGCTCCAAAGCTACAAAGAAACCCTGTCTTGAACCTCGCCCCCCACAAAAAAGAAAAGAAACAAAAACAACAGCAACAACAAAAACTTAATAATAGTAGAAAGACAGGCTAGGTGATATATACTTGTAATCCCACCATATAGGAGATGGAGCCAAGGAGGATCAATTTTAAAGTCATCCTTTGTTATAAAGGGCCTCTAGTATGTCTCCAAAACAAAGCAAACCCATAAAGCTTACTACTGGGTTGCAATGATAAAGACTTATAAAGAATGAAATTATACCTATATGTCTTGCCAATATTATTAACTATATATCTGAATGCCTGACTTGCTGCGGTGAGTGGTTATGATAGTACCCTTTGCCGTTGTGTACTTACTGATTGCCATGACTCTTTAGACTGAGAGAAATAACAACTTCAAGGAGACATTCAAACATTCACCTCCAATGGCCAGTGCCCAAAGCAAGTTTACCTGAATACCAAGGTTCACAGCATTTTAAGGGGGTTAGTGAGTTTAGCCTTTGAGCATCAATATAATTTCCCACTATACAGTCCTGTTTTCCTACTGGTTCACATAATAATATACTCTTGTTATGTTCCTCTTTCAATCAAAGGACTGGTGTGTGGTTCCCAGCACCTGCATTGGGCAGCTTAGAGACACCTGTAGCTGTAGCTCAGGGGGATCCTTTATGCACATATGCACACATGTGTACTGGTGCACATGCACACGCACACACATGCACATACACACACAGAGTAAATCATATATTGTATTTTGTACTTTTGAGCTTTTTTCCTAAGATTTTCTAAAAGGCTATGTATATCTATTAATAATGAACAAGAGTATTTTTATTACACACTTTTAAAACAATGAATACTTGACCCAATTGGGTAATCCAGAACTTTCACAAATCTTTCTACCTTTGTGGAATTTGGTTTTCCCAGTGGTAACAATGGTGCTGTACAGAAGCACACCCCTTGTGGTGCTTCCCTTTCCTCTCTCCTTTAATGTTTTGATTAAAGATTATCTTGGAAATTCCTGGGCTTCTTCAGCCAGATGTAGATAGTCATGTAAATTAATTGAATTATTCTGATTCTGTCCAAACAGCCTGAAGTACTTGAGCAACTAAGTGGATTGAAAGAGTTTTGGATGGATGGTAATAGACTGACTTTTATTCCAGGGGTATGTATATGAAAATTTCAGTAGCTTTCCATTTATTACTTTCTCTCTTTCTGAGTATTTGAAATGTGCATTTAAAAGTTGTTTAGTCATTTAAAGGGTGAATTTTTACTTAATTTTTTATTAAGCAAAAGTTTGAAACAAATTGTACTTTTTAAAAACCATGTACACACGTGAAAACGTCCATAACAAATTATATTAAAAATAGTCTTTTTACTACTGAGAACATACGCATTCTGTTAGTACCAGTCAGAGTTATACTAAATTTAGTCTTTCTAGAAATAGTTAAACTAAAATGATTTCTGTTTTATCACCATATCTAGGGAAGACTTAAGAGAATTGCCATTTCATCGGAGGTGATGAATATTAACCTAAGAAAACTATCATTCTGCTTGAATAAAATTATTCCACATCTTCATTATTAAATATGTCTGGTGATTGAGAAAACATTCACATTCAGTTATTAATTAAAACTTGGTATCATGTTACTACTTAAATTTTTAAAATTATTTGATCCTGGCCATAGTGGTGTGTGTTTTAATTCTAGCAGCACTCAGGAGGCACAACAGGCCGATCTGTAAATTCAAGGCCAGCATGATCTACAGAGCAAGTTCCAGAAAAGCCAGGGCTACACAGAGAAACATGGTCTTAAAATAAACAAAACGAAATTATTTGATATAATAATGGCATTTTCTGTCCTTTACTTACAGTTTATTGGTAGTTTGAGACAGCTCACATATTTGGATGTTTCTAAAAATAACATTGAAATGGTTGAAGAAGGAATTTCAACATGTGAGAACCTCCAAGACCTCCTCTTATCAAGTAACTCGCTTCAGCAGCTGCCTGAGACTATTGGTCTGTATTGCTTTCAAAACAATTTCTTTTTAATTCTTAAAGACTTCTTTTTTATTCAAATCTTTTATAGAAACTCAAAATCTTTCTGTTAATGTTTTATTGTACCACCACTTACAAATATTCCTTGAAGTTTCCCTGATGTGCTCCATTGTACAGTTTACTACTTTACTGTTATTACTGTTTATATTTATTCTAAGGAAGTTCTATTTTCATAACTTTAATAAATTCTTGACAGAGAAGCTAGCCTGCTCATTTTCTTGGATTCCCTAGCCCTTATTTGGAAACTGTTTTCCATTACTTTACTATTGATTGAATGATAGATAAGAAAACAGGAGGATTTTAACAAATTCATGATATATCTACAATTCTTACTTGATCTGTTTTGAAGTTTGTTTGATAAAGTATGAGGTAGATAGGTCACTTGGATGAAAAGTCTCAATGCTTAAATCTTCACAGTGATATAATAGAAAAACTAAATTATCATATTTCTCAGTTGAATTACACCAATTTTAAAGTTAAGACACATTTTACATTTTAGAATTTTATTCTAATCTAATAAATACTTTTGATTTTTGAGTTGAAATATATTTATTTACATACTATTTTGTTATGTAGTGACAATTCACACTGCTATGTTTTTATTAATTTAACAGATTGTGGTTAATTCTTTATGTCATGACTTTGTTTTAGAACAAGGATACAGAAGTGAACACTGGAGACAAAATGTCTTCTTAGAAAGCTTATATTTTACTTGGGGGTTGGGTAGTAAGTTAAAACAGTGCAGTGGGGGCTGGAGAGAGAGTCAGTAAAAGACTTGCCTGCCAAGTATAAGGACTTAAGTTTGATTACAAACACTAACATTAAAAGCTAGCCTTAGTGGTGTGTGCACTTCTGTTCCCAGTATTGAGGAGGCAGATCCCTGGGGCTTCCTAGCCTGCCAGCCTAACCTAATAGATAAGCCCCAGGTCCTAGTATGATAAAATGAGGATGGTTCTTGTGTAAGGACACCAAGGTTTACCTCGGGCTTTCACATGCATGCACATGTAGACACATATACACACACAGGTATGAGGTGGGTTAAAATAGAAATATTGGGTGAGAGTGGGCGATGATAGGGTATACTGTCTTTTGTAAGTAGGATTTTATTGGTAATGTCTTTTAAATGTTATCAAATCTAGTGTGTTTCACATTGATTATTGATGAATTTGTTTTATATTTTAAGCTGAAAATGATATATTACTTCTTCTCAATAGGTTCATTGAAAAATGTCACAACTCTTAAAATAGATGAAAACCAGTTAATGTATCTACCAGACTCAATAGGAGGGTGAGTTGTGTGTGAATGTGTAGACAAAGAAAGTGCTGTTATTAACTCAGCTTGTGTCTCTGCATGCATTTTAGATATTTACATAAAAAACATCAAAGCAGATTCCACAAACATTCAAAATAAGTAATTTGCTGCATGCAGTTTTGTTACTATATAATAGTAATAAAAATATACTGGCTTATTGTTGATAAAGCTTAGCTTTGCCAAATTTCATTATTTGCTAATTTCATGTTGATGTGTTCTTAAATATTGGGTATAGTATAGATTTTAAAAACACTGTGTTTTCATTTATAATTATAGTCTAAGGTCTATAGAAGAACTGGATTGCAGTTTCAATGAAATTGAAGCTTTGCCTTCATCAGTTGGCCAGCTCACAAACATAAGAACATTTGCTGCAGATCACAATTACTTACAACAGTTACCCCCAGAGGTACAGTATTTAACATTATGTCAGATTTTTGTCTTCTTTTAAACATATTCTTTAAATATTTTTTATTTTCTTTTTAAAACAGTTTATTAATCAATTTATAATCTGAATAATAACAGGCTATGCAGCTTTGAAGCTGTTCCTAAACACTTTCCTTAAAAGAAAGTTAGTAATTTAAAGAGAGTAATTAAAGTTAGGTGGTGGTGGTGCCTGCCTTTAATCCCAGCACTGGGGATTAAAGAGGCAGACATACCTCTGAGTTCGAGGTCAGCCTGGTCTAGAGAGTGAGTTTCAACACAACTAGAACTACATAGAAACCCTGTCTTGAAAAATCAGAGAGGGAGAGAGAGGGAGAGAGAGGTTAAAGTTACTACAAAAGTAATACTTTTGTAAATAAATGCAAGAGTTATTTTTCACCACTTTCAGATATAGTAATATAATTTTATTTATTGACCCATAGGCCAGGTTTGTGATCTCCAGTTTGTTTCTCTTTCAGATTGGAAACTGGAAAAACATAACTGTGCTGTTTCTCCATTCTAATAAACTAGAGACACTTCCAGAGGAAATGGGTGATATGCAAAAATTAAAAGTCATTAATTTAAGTGATAATAGGTTTGTAATCATCTGTTGGCTTATAGAATACATTGAAGTTAAAATTCGATATGAAATACACTATGCTAGCTGGTGTTTATTTCATTTTATATATATTTAATTTTTTTCAGTTGAAAAAAATGAGCAAGCTATCTGATGTTACTTACTGTGATTTTCATGGTTTATTATGAACGAACATAATTATACAACCTTTATTCTTTCATTATTATATAGCCTTTTAATTCCTATAATCCCAAATTCACCTTTGTACTGCTGCTGAACAAAGCAATTTTTTAATTTAATCTTTGTTTATATTTTTCTAGGCAAAGATTCATTCATACAGCTTGGGCCACAAATGCCAAATTGCAGAGCAGATTGATTGCTCTAGATTCCCAGACTGGAGTTGTGATTGCTGGAGTGGAAAGACCAAGGCTGTTTAAACAATAGTTGCAGAAAGTTATAGATGGAAGTTTCTGTCCCGCCCAATCTCTTGGCCATTTTGTCCCAAATAAACACACAGAGGCTTATATTAATTATAAATGGTTTGACCTATTAGCTCAGGCTTATTATTAACTAGCTCTTACAACTTAAATTAACCCATAAGTCTTGTCTATGTTTAGCCATGTGGCTTGGTACCTTTTCTCAGTAAGGCATTCTCATCTTGACTCCTCTATGTCTGGATGATGACTGACTCTGCCTTTCCTCTTCCCAGAATTCTCTTTGTCTGGTTGCCCCACCTATACTTCCTACCTGACTACTGGTCAATCAGCGTTTTATTAAACCAGTATGAGTGACAAATTTTTACAGTGTACAAGAGCATTAATCCACAGCAGAATGTTTTTTATTTTGTAATACTTTACAAAATACAAACATAATCCTTTTGTAATAGTATAGTAGGTTTCTCTCTTATGTAGGAGAAATTTCAGGCTCACATAGTTTGTAAAGTAGAACTTGAAGTACAGTATTCTGACTGACTTGTCAAAAATGTCCTAACAGCTACAGTTTATTTAAGAAGAACCTCTGCCTCTGTAGTAAAGTTTGTTTCTTCTCGTAATTTTTTTTCCAAGTGAGACCACCAGCTGTTCAAACTCTGTCTTCAAAGGTGTGCACAGAAGACTAGTTAGGTTTAAGATAGCAAGGGTTAAGTAAAACCATTATTTTAAATAGAATCCTATTTTAACTTACTACTCTAATAAGTGTATCACTTTATTTTACATATTATCATTTTGAAATAGTAATCGCTCACTAAAATGTGGAGCAGCACAGTGTTCTTAAAGTAGGTCTTCCTACAGAATTAGTTCTCTCTAAATACAGAAACAACAACAGTTTTGTGAGTGAGTGAGTACTCAGGGTGGCCTTACCTTACTTTATGGCATGGACAGTTTTTATTTTTTTTTAACAGATTTGTTTGTTTTTTAACATACAATAAAGATTGTATAATTATATTGGCTCAAAATGAACCATAACATTCACAGAATGATAAGTAACATCAGATAAAGTTTGTTCATTCTTTCAATTAAAAAGTATAGATGCTCATATTAGACAGGTTAATGTGCCTGTCCTAAAATAAATTGTCAGATAATCTGGAAAGTCTTATACTAACGTTGGAGATAGCTTTTCAAGTCTTAGATTGTTGACAATCATCGGGAAATACAGCCGCCTTCGGGGCTGGTGCATATACTGTTTTGTTTCTGTTTTAAATTTCATTATTGACTGGGTTATACTTTTATCTGCTGAATTAAATTTGTTATAGAGAATTGTGTTTTAAAACTAGAAAAGTGTGCATTTAATTTTACTTTTTTATGTTAACTGTATATGCCAGTATACAGCATTGTTCAGATAACTTATGTTTTCATTTTAATTATTTTTTTTTTGGTGTTACTAGGAGGTAGGAAGATAGGGTCCATGCTATGTAAGCACTAGACCACTGAGCTGCACTTCTAATGTAACCTCTTAGTCATTTGAAATATTCTCATTTTTAAGTATAATTTTTGTTTGTCTTTTTTCAATCAGATTAAAGAATTTGCCTTTTAGCTTTACAAAGCTGCAACAGTTGACTGCTATGTGGCTCTCAGATAATCAGGTGAGTATTCTGACCTAGTATTTTGCTGGACTTCCAATTGTGTTATGTAATTATACCCTTTAATTAATATAGTGCCACGTAAGAGCAGTTATACCTTTGTTCACATGTAAAGATGCATTTTTCTATATATGAAGAAATATCTTACCATATTTAGAACCAATTTTTAACACAGATACAGATATATAAGTGATTTTGTTATATTTTAGCAAGTTTTCAAACCCATAAAAATGTAGAAATCAGGGAATCAGACTCAGTTCCACCTAACTTTTTACCATGACTTACTACCATTGTCACTTCTTTTTGAGTGCACATAAAAATCTGTTCTCTCAGCAGTTTTGAATGATACAGTGCTTCTGACGAGAACTGCCATAGTCTACAGTAGAGCCCTTGAATTTATTCTTCCTATCAGTTTTGTGCATCTGACCAGCATATCCCAATCCGCTCTCAACCCAAGCCCTTGTTAGTTAATGTTTGTGATCTTTCTGTAAGTTTTCCTCTTTGTACAGTATCATGTGATAGTTGTCTTTCTGTGTTTAGGCTATTTCAGTTAGCATAATGTATTCCAGGTTCTTTATGTTGTTTCAAATCACAAGATAATCCTTTTCTTTAAAGACTGACCTGTATTTTATTATGTGTATGTGTTAACACTATCCTTAGCCAGTCATTCATTGATAGACACTTAGGATGATTTCTGTTTTCTTAAAGATTAATTTATTTGAGCCGGGTGGTGGTGGCACACGCCTTTAATCCCAGCACTCGGGAGGCAGAGGCAGGCGGATCTCCGTGAGTTCGAGGCCAGCCTGGTCTACAAGAGCTAGTTCCAGGACAGGCACCAAAAACTGCAGTGAAACCCTGTCTCAAAAATCAAAAAAAAAAAAAAAGATTAGTTTATTTTATGTTTTTTAGTGTTTTGCCTGCATGTATGGATGTGTGCCTGGTGCCTGCCAAAGGTCAGAAGAGGGCATAGGATCCCCTAGGACTGGAGTTACAGGTGCTAGAGTGAGTTGCCATGTGGGAACCAGACCCAGGTCCTCTGAAAGAGCTGTTAATCTCTGAGCTGTCTTTCATGCCCCATTAACTTGTTTCTTACCTTAACTATTGAGAATAATGTTATAGATTTGTAGTGAGGTACGTGAGCAAAATTCTCTAATAGTAATGGAAAAAGAAAATAATGCTTTTATGATTAATTTTGAGACAGTCCTAAAGGTCAAAAGTGGAATGATACTAGTTTGCTCAGTTTTGTGATACAAATATTTTAATTGGGGTTTTGAGACAGGGTCTCACTCTGTAGCCTTGCATGGACTGTAACTTCCTATGTAGACCAGGCTGGTGTCAAATTCATAGAGTTCCTCCTGCCTCTTCCTCTGCCTCCTGAGTGCCGGGATTAAAGGTGTGCATTATTATGCCTGGCTTGTGAATATAACTGCCAACCCACGTGTAAGAGAAGGACATCACAGGAAGGAGATCTTGGCTATTGAGAAGAGAGTGGTTTGAGATTAAATGTTATCACATTGTAAAGAAAGGAGCCAATGTGAAAGAGACTTGAAAAGTGAGGAATTGAGCAGTTTGGTGAGGTGACTAGCAAGTCAGGTGAGAATGATAGGTCTGGAGAGTGGCCTGCTGTCCTCACCTGATTGTACTGCTTACTCTGCAGTCTGCTTTTCTGGCCTGGTTCTTCTCTTTGTGACTCTGTTTTATTTTCTGTAAACTGTCCTTCAAATTACTTCCCATATCCTCATTATTTCTAATAATATCTATAGTGTGCTACCTGTGCCTGAATAATACATATGGCCCAGTGTCTGTCTAACATTGACTCTTAGATATCTCAGGATCAACTCTCCCTAAAACGCTTATATTCTTCTGCCCCAAATGTTTCTTGGGATTCTTAGCTCACTGAGAAATGTTTTATAGCCTCACAGACACAGGAGTATAACCTTTAACTAATAACATCCCTGTACTGCCAGTCCAGGAATATTGAATACTTCGTGTGTGCTTTTCATCATTTTATGTAGACCTGCCCTGTCCAGTACTGAACCCAATAGTATCATATGTAGGTCCAGTACTGAGCCCAGTAGTATCATATGTAGTTAATCCAAAGTCAGATGCCTTATAATTAACTGTATACTGAAGTTTTTGCCTTAGTGTGATAATAAAAATGTGAATTTTGCATTCATAATTTTTATTTTGGACTTTATGCTAAAAATTTTTAATTTTTAAAATAAGGTTAAATTGAATACATTATTAAAGTATTTTTTATCTCTTTTGAGACCACCTCCCCGTTTTTGCTTCTGCTAGCCCAGGGTGACCTTGAACTCAAAATCATCTTGTCTCAGTCTGTAGAATGCTGGGATTATAGGCATATGCTACTATGTTCAGCTTCAACCCACCCTGAAATACTAGGATTCAGACTGATAGCCTCCTATATACTATTATCATTTTTTTGCCTTCAAAAAAAAGTATAGCTACTATACAATTACAAATTGGACAGTGCTGATTTAGATTGTTGGCAAACTGTGTACTGAGTCTCTGTCTCCTGTGTTATCTGCTTGCTCCTGCTAGCCCTCTATCACCCTAATACTGTATCTCACATGATGTCTCAATCCTAAACTCACACTAACCTCCTTGAAATAACGCTGATGGGTTTCCAGATATCATAGACCTCGCCTATTTGTTTACCTCTTACACATTCATTCATTCTTTCTTTCTACCAGATGAGTTCTCATTCAGAGTGTTCTTTGTCCTACCTGCCTATTCTTTTCCTCGCCTCACCTTAAACCTCTCAGAAATGCTGTCCTGTTTGTCTGAGACAGCAGTGAATGAATGCCCCTATGCTGTCTAATGCCTATACCTTATCAACTTGTGATTGTGTCTGTTGTAATAGCCAGTTTTGTCAGATGTTTATTACTCTTAGATACTGCAGGCTCAAGAAGTCAGTGTACATACTTGTCTTGCTCTGTCTTCTGTGTTAATGCTTTGTTATAAAATATGTTAGTAAGTATTTGATGAATGAGTGATTTTAGGTTTCAGAGGAAGAACACCAACAGGTGACATCTTGAGTTTTTATACCTAGAGAACTGACGGAGTATCTAAAATTAAATGAAATTAAAGAGTGGTAGTTAGGCATTCAAGGTATGGGGAAAGCTTAGAAAACTATTTCTTTTCTCGCCCAGGTACTCCATAAATAGCAGTGGTTATAAATTTTATGAAGTATAATTCATATGCCATTCAATTCACCCATCTTAAAATATGCCGATTTTGATCTATGCAGTGGATTGTTTAAAGGATAATAGCAGAATATTTTCAGGGAAATTGGTTTTTACAAATGTCCTAGATAATTTTGATACTGCCATTTAAAGGGGCTGCTTCTTTACACCCTAAGAAACGACTGGACCAAAAAGCTTATCTATGTTCTTTATATTTTATATCTGTTGAATTACTTTCGACTGTGGAAATACTTAATATAAGAGGAGGGAACGCAGATTGAGTATCCCGTATCTGATATACTTGGGATAAGATATTTTGGAGATTTTGGGATTTTCTTTTTGTTGTTGTTTCAGTTTTTCAAGACAAGATTTCACTGTGTAGCCCTGGCTATCCTGGAACTCTCTCTGTAGACCATTCTGACCTCAAATTCACATAGATTCACTTGCCTCTACCTCCCAGAATTTTTTTTTAATATTCACAATTAAAAAATAAGATAGGAATAAAAATCTAAATATAAACTTTATTAATGCTTCATATATTACTTACATATATGGAAAATAATTTTATGTAGCATTTAAAAATTAATTTTTAGGGATTTTTTAGCATAAACTTTCTCTTGACGTCAAATGTATCCTGTTCTACTTGGACAGTCATGTCAGTGCTCAGTGTTTTCCGATTTTGGAATATTTTGAAATATTTTAATTAACTATACTCTACCTGGCATGGAGGAGATTGACGGATAATAAGGAGATTGAATTTAGAAACCAGGATGATGTGTGCAGGGCTGGGTGTTTACATTTGACGATAGACCAGGGTGAGCTCTCAGAGCAGTGTTAATACTGTCATCTCCGTCCTTCTTGTCAAAAACAGTGTGAGTGAAGAATCAGCCTGCCCTTGAGATTTCAAGGAAGCAGATTTTTAGGAAAGAGTAGGCTTACCACTTCCATTATTTGAGGAAGTCAAGTAAAGTGGTTAGACTATTTGAGATTATAGGACAGTTTAGTTTTTAACTAGGTGGAAGTCGCAAAATTTTTAAGTATTTGGGAGTAAGATTTCAGGATGGAATCAGGTTTTCACAAGAGTTTATTTGGAGAATAAACTGAAAGATAATATAGAAGAGAAGACTGGGTAATTCCTACCTACTTGGAGTTATTTAAGACTCTTAATGGTAGAATTTTAGGTGAGTATATTAAAAATAAGAGTTAGTTGTATTAGAACAGATATTGATACTATTTGTTAACCAATTAGAAGAAAGATACTAAAAAAAGAATGAATTCTAAAATACCTGGTGGCTCCACCAAGTGTCTTGTTGGTGCCATTGATGGAGACAGAAGAGAAGCAGTGTTCAACTTACTGATTACTTTTAAGCACTGTTTGTTTAGCAGCTAACTGGAATAAATGTTTAGATAACTAATTTAAACCTTCTAAATGTTTTTTTTTCCTTAAAAAGCATCTTACAAAAGGATATACTAGAGACAGCAAAATAAAATATAATGGAAAATGTTTTGTAACCTTTTTAGTAAAATCTCTGTGTAGTAAATAATTCATAGGCTATAGGTATTCTTAGCATATTGAAATATTTTATAATTGTTTCAGTGATAAATAATATATATTGAATTTGGTTTTTATTAAAATTTTACTTTCTAGATTTCTGTGTGGTTTCAAATGAATGCTCAAAAGTGTTCTTTTGTATATATACAAATTTGTTTTTGTAACCTGTACCTTGATAGTTTATAAAATTGGTGGATGGTTATTTGTAGGGATTATTAGATATGTATTTTCTTTTATTGAAAATTAAAGATTTATTAAAAATTAACCATTTGTTTTCTTTCCCTAGTCCAAACCTCTGATACCTCTTCAAAAAGAAACTGATTCAGAGACTCAGAAAATGGTGCTTACTAACTACATGTTCCCTCAGCAACCAAGGACTGAAGAAGGTAGGAATTAAAGACTTGCTCCCCTTCCCCTTAAGTGCCAAGAGAAGTTTTAGCTCCAAAACTTTTTATTACTTCATTGGAGTTTGAAATATTGATCAGAAAGTTTTCAGGAAATAGATGGATAAGTAACATTATAAGTTGAATATAGAGGTGTGGAAATGTATTGTGTGCTTTATTTATGTAACACTGATAATGTTATCAATTGTAGCACTCCTCACTTCAAATCACACTTGACTAAATGTTAGGAATGCTGTGAAGCATTGTGTGATTAGAAGTATTCAACCAGGACATGGTTTGTTCGATTGTATATAATACCCTTGGAGTCCACACACTAGGTCAAGGTTATCTGTGAAGCTACAATCTATAAACGCTAATCACTACTAAGTTACTTCCTAGGTTTTGCCCAGCAAGAGAGAATATATTCTTTAATACTGGCTGCTAGTGTATACTTGTGGATTATTGTGTGAAGACAGAGGACCAAATTATTTTTAATATATTTTGTTGTGTTCTGTGTGTGTGTGTAACATTCCAAAATTACACTTAAATGTCTTTTTATATATGTATTAATCTTTCTGAAGACAGTAAACATCTATGGTCTGAAGTTACTTAGAAAGTAACTCAATATAAAATGTTAAAGAAAAGTGTAACTTCATTGTTAGTCTTAATGATAATTAGGGGGCTGGAGAGGTAGCTCAGTGGCTAAGAATATTTCTTTTCTTCCAGAGGACCCAGATTCCAAATCTTAGCACCCACTTAACAGCTTATAATTGTATGCAACTCCAGTTCTAGGGTATATGGTTCTCTCTTCTGGACTCTATGGGCCCCATGCATCCATGTAACACACAGACATACATGCAGGTAAAAAGCACACACACATAACATAAAAATAAGTTAAACCATGGCACGTTAAGTGAGTGAGTTTCCATTTTCTCATTTTTAAATGAATTTAGCAGTTCCATTTGAACCAGCTTCCAGTCTATACTTGAGTGCTAATATAATTAATTAGTACATTTAATATATCATTAAATGGTGTTAGTATGAAATAGTATGTTAGTTTGTGAATAGAACATTAAAATGTTCTCTTCTCTGAAGTAAGAAATCATTTCTTGTCTTTCCTTACAAATGTTTTAAGTACTATACTAACATTCTTTACTACCAAAAGGATGATTACTTGATGACATTGTATAACAGGACTCTCACACCTTCTTACTGTGTCAGTCAAGCTTTACGTTGTTAGGATTATGAAGAGGAGAAACAACGAAAGAAAGATGTATCTTTAGAGATCTCATTTCATCTTAGTAAGAAGATGGAGTAGATCCAGAGCAATATCTGTCAAGGTGTCACAGAAGCAAAGGAAGAGGTTGGGGACCTGGTGTTACCCTTAGAGTCATGTTTCCTCCAGCACAAGCCCAGCCCTAAGGTTTCCACAGACTCCTAGAATAAATAGTATGACTTAAGACCAACTGTTCAAATGTGAACCTGTGGGAAACATTTCATATTCAAATCAATACTTAGTGCTATTTCCTATTTTCATAAATCTTCAGAAATCAGGAAAAATGAAAAAAATTGAGATGAGTTCTGATGAATAAAAGCAAGCAAACAAATGTTTGGTTAACATGTTCAAATATTTGGTATCATTTTCTGTACTGTTCTATTAGTACCATAAGTAGTATTTTCCCATTTACCTTTTTTATCTATTTTGTGGTTTTGGTGATTGAACCTAGGAACTTACAAGTGGTAAGCAAGCACTGTACCAGTGGGCTATACCCCAGTGTTGCACATCCATTTAAACTGAATTTCTGTTTTTGTTTTTTTGAGACGGTTTCCCTCTGTAGCCCTGACTTTCTTGAAACTAGCTCTGTAGACCATGCTGGCCTTGATCTGCCTCTGCCTCCCCCGTGCTGATATTAAAGGCATGAGACACAGCTGCCTGGCCAAACTTCATTTCTAACATGCAGAATTTTTATTTACATGTGTCTTAGAGTTTATACTGTAAAGCACTATGACCAAAAGCAACTTTTGGCAAGAGAAGGGTTTATTTCAGCTTACACTCAGGCCACACTCCATCACTGGATGAAATTCAAGTCAGGAACTCAAGACAGAACCTAAAAGCAGAGGCTGTAGAGGAATGTTGCTTACTGGCTTGCTCCTGATGGCTTGCTCAGCTTGTTTTTTTATACCATCCAGGACCACCATCCCAGGAGTGGAACTGCCTACAGTGAGCTTGGACCTCTTACACCAGTTATCAGACAAGAAAATGCAGCATAGACCTATCTGATGGGAGCATTTTTTTTAATTGAGGTTCCCTCTTAAATGGCTAACTTATGGCAAGTTGACATGAAAGTAGTCAACACAACATTTAGCAAAGTGTCAGTACTAACAGTTTAAAAATAAGTACACTAACTAAAATAAGTACATTATGGAAACAGTTCTACAATTTATAATTTTGATAAATGAAGTTAAAAGTAAATTTAAATAGATGTATCTTTTAAGTTTATTCTTAGAACTTTAATTATAGACCTTTTAATGAATTTATTTATATTTGGCATATCAAAAGCCTAACTTGGATTCAACACAAAGTCTGAATAGCCTTTGCTGTTCCTAAATAAGTGTTAAAGAAAATACCTGTGAAACAAGAATCTTATCAAAGCAAGTCTTTCTTCTTACAGAGATGATAATGTTCTCTTTGTCACATGATAGAAACAAGTTAGATGGGTTAAATTTTTAATCTGTTTAGTTATTTCCAATCATTTCATTAAGTCTGCCCTTAAAAATCATCAGTTTGAATGACTTTGAAAAAAGTTAAATATTTTATACCTGTAACGTCTCAACTTTACAGCTGTCTTCCAACATATATACTATGTCATTAGTTGCTTCTAGTTTATAGAGTTTAGAGTATTTACTCTCTGATCATTTTCAGAAATATTCTCGCTAGCCCATTCTCTATGTTTTCTAAACTCTGAATGTTTTAACCACAAATATATATGCCTCAACCTCTTATTTTACTGTTTCCTATTTTCATGATTCAAATTCACCTGGCCTTTTTTATCTAGCACTATTGTAGCTGACTTCCTATTATGATTTCTTCTTTTAAAGGATGATTGTTTAGATAAGGAGGTGCTGTTCAGATCTGACCGACAGAACAGGAGTATCAGAGTTATGCTGTCATAATTTTGGTTTTATTTTGGAATTTGTTTTAAGGTAAAGGTAGCTAGAGTCTGGAAATTTGCAATGCATTAATTAATCAGAAAACTCTTAGATTTCCTTGGAGTTCATTTGCCCTTTAAAGTACCTTACCATAGGTATACATGAATATAATGTACTCACATCTCAAATTAGAAACTGTAGTATTTGGGGCTGGAAAGTGGGATCAGCAGGTAAAGGAACTTAACCCCAAGTCTGACGACTTAAGTTTGATCCCTGTAATTCACTTGATGGAAGGAGATAACTGATTGTGTAAGTTATTCTCCAACCTTCATGTGTATACCATCATATTCACATGCAATTAATAAAACTAAGAGAAAAAAATTACAGTAGTGTTATCAAGAGGATATTGAATTACCTTTGAACTTCCAGGAAATGTTTTTCTTTATCCCAGTTCCTCAAAGAAATAGATGACTCATGTAGTGAATATTACTATTCAGTTGAAGCTTTATGCCAGCTTGAGAGAAATTGTGTTCACTTTGTTAAATTGAACTTAATCTGGTTTTGTCATCCTGTGAGACAGGTGCTATTGAGCTAAGTAAAACCACTTGCCTTTCAGAATCTAAAGATGGATAATGATGAGAAAATTTGAAAGACTAGGAGTGAGAATGTCAGTCTAGGTTGAGGAATTAGTCTTTTTTTGGAGAAAATGTTTCACTTTGTAGCCATGACTAATCTAGAATTCTTTAAATTCAAAGTGAATCACCTACATCTGCCTCCTGAGTGCTGGGATTAAAGGGGTGTACTACCATGTCTGGCCTAATGGAATTAGACTTAAGCAGGGAGAAGGGAATGTATGATTGTTTTTAAAAATTACCTCTATTCTATTATTTAGGTACATATTGTATATGAAATATAGATAACTTGGAAAATAGCCTGGTGGGGTAATATCAATCTAGAGTATCTCTCTGAGAGTTTTTATACTCCCTGCCCCAATAGTGATTTAAAGGGTAATAGTAATGTGAAAGAAATTAGCTTCTGGTGGTTCAGAAAGGACATTTGAAGGAAGTGATAGTGTATCATGAAATGGAAACTTCATTAAAGAGGGAAGTAAAACCTAGAGTGGTTTTGCATGTTGGAAAAGAAAGATGGCTAAAAATGTGAGCATTTACCAACAATCAGAACATGACTTAATATTTAGCAGGAGGGTACAGTGACAGAATTGGGAATATTTTGAGTATGACTATGGTTATGAATCCCTTATCTGATGTGAAGATTAACTTTGGCATTGAAGATGTCTAGGAACTATAAGATTACAGAGTAGGATGGCATCATCAGACATTCCCATTATTCAGGATATAGCAAATCTTGAAAACGACCTGTAGTCAGATACAGGAGTGTTGAATGAATTCACTTCAACATTCAGATTTGTGAAACTGTGAAGTAAGAGCAGGAAGTCATATTACCTGGTACCCTGAACCTTGAAAGGTAAGGAATTTATTCAAAATGCTAAGAAATGTAATTAACCAGTAGCTATTGAGACGGAGAGCCATGACCAGAGTTACAAACTCTGGGATTCTGAGTACATTCTTGTATAAAATTGCTTTAACTCTTAAGCATTTGAAGGCTGGGCTGGTGATTGCAGTTGCTACCCAAGGACTACCAGTGACTCAGGAATCAAAGTACTTGCCAACCAAGCATGATAATTATCCTCAGAATCCATGTAAAGGTAGAAGGGGGGGAAATAACCCATAACCCACAAAATCGCCTACACACACGCACACGCACACACGCATGCACATGCTCTAATGACAAGAAAGATTTTTAAAGATTACTACCTAACCTAAGTGAATTACTTTCATGAATCCTAGAAGTAAACTGTTAAAAACTGCCTGGCTCTGGTTGCCTTTCTTTGTCTTCTGGACCTGTGTCTCCCGTAGACCTGGTTGACCTCCAACCCGCCATGTATGTGAGGATGAACTTGAACATACTATATTATGCCTCTCCCTCCCCAGTGCTGTGATTGGAGGCATAGTGCCACCTGCCTGGCGTGTGGGTTCATTTAGTGTTTGAGATTGAACTCAGGAAGTCGTTCTACTGAAGTATATCTGTTGACAAAGATTTCTGTCCCACCAGGTCCCACAGTCGTTCAGTCCCAAAGAAACACACAGGGGTCTACATCAATCATAAACTGGTTGGACTATTAGTTCAGGGTTCTCATTTTTTTAACAAGGTATCTTATTTTGCCATTGGACTAACTCTTTCCATGCTTATTGGACTGTTAATGTTAAAAAGAATTCCAGAATTGGAAGATGTGGTAGCCTTACTGTCTTAAAATTTTTAGGGTCCTACATGAAAGCTATGTATCTGTAGTGTTTAGATTCGCAACTTCATGAATCCTTCTAGTAACAAAAGCCTGATCAGCTTCTGGGAAACAAAAGTTGCATTGGTTATGGTAAAGAAATCTTAAAACCAGTGCCTGTTTCTTAACCCTGGAATTTGTTACTGTTTATCCTGAACCAGTTTTAACTGCCACAGACTTGTTTTTATAATGCAGATTATGAGTAAGTAATAGTTTCTGTGATTATTGTAAAATATAGCAATTTTTCTTCTACTTTGCCATAGTTATGTTCATATCAGATAATGAAAGTTTTAATCCTGCACTGTGGGAAGAACAGAGAAAACAACGGGCCCAAGTGGCATTTGAATGTGATGAAGACAAAGATGAAAGAGAGGCACCACCCAGGGTGAGTCTGTCAGCCATTACTTCAGGTGTGCTGACTGAAGTTTGTATTGTATACCTGTATGATGCTATTTCTGGCTCTAAGTATTGGATTCATTGCGTACCCTCGAAGCACTTATTTAACCAAAATATTTCACCTATGAAAAAGTTTGAGAACAGTACAAAATTGCCATTAAAAGGTACATTTTGAGGAGAGATATAACTCATTGGTGGAGTTCTTGTCATGTAAAGGCCCAGAGTTTAATCCCCAGCACTGGGAGAAAGAAAGGAAAAAACAAAACAACTGAATTTGAAATGTATATATTTTATATTATATATAAATAGAAATATTATATATATATATATATATAGATGAAACAGAATTTCTGTGACTCTGTTATCTGTCTGCACTATTCTATGAGCCAGATGTCTAAAAGTTCTGGTGGATTCTTATATATTAAGTTGAGATTGATGTTAGAAATACTAATACTTCATGTTTCTCTTACTTTTCTAGGAGGGAAACTTAAAGAGATATCCAACACCATACCCAGATGAGCTTAAGAATATGGTCAAGACTGTTCAGACCATTGTACATAGATTAAAAGATGAAGAGACTAATGAGGAGTCTGGGAGAGATATGAAACATGAAGATCAGCAAGTTGTAAATAAGGATATGGGTGTGAAGGTTAGAAACTCAACTCCAAGTAATGATGTCAAGTGTTTGAAGTTACCTAAAAATTGAGAGAATTGATATAATAATCTTAATTTTATACTACTTAATTTATAGTTTTGTTATTAGATGCCTAAAGTAAACCTTTGAATTCCCCAGTTGCTTGTCTTCTAGTTCTCTCACTACAGAATGTCTAGTTTATCAGGATAGTGTCAAGATAGCCTTTAAAAAGTCATTACCTGGGGCTGGAGAGATGGCTCAGAGGTTAAGAGCATTGCCTGCTCTTCCAAAGGTCCTGAGTTCAATTCCCAGCAACCACATGATGGCTCACAATCATCTGTATTCTGGAAATACTGTTACCTCCTACTTTGATGATTCTGATCCACTTTATTCTGATTTTCAGTCAGTTGTTATTGCAGACATTGAGGTTTCCTTGGAATGCTTCAGAACTTTCCTCAGTGCCACCCACCCGCAAATCAAAGATTTGTCGTGTCTTAGAGTCACTGTGCATTCCATAGCAGATGAAATGATTTATGAAAGTAACTTTTGCTAAATTATGCATTTTAATAAAATCATGGCTATCTATGGGACATCTGCCCTCCAAATTGACATTTTATCTTCAGGTCTTAATTTACATGCTCTCAGTTTTTGTTTGGTTTCGGTTTTGGTTTTTCTTTTGCTGTCTTTTTTGGTTTTTCGAGACAGGGTTTCTTTGTGTAGTCCTAACTGTCCTGGAACTCACTCTGTAGACCAGGCTGGTCTCAAAATCACAGATATCTACCTGCCTCTGCCTCCAGAGTGCTGGAATTTGTAGCACGAATAATAAAACCCAGAGACAGATATTGGGGTTCAAGCTGAAGATCAAAAAAGCAAAGCAGTCAACCACCGGAGACAAACAAAGGGGCGATCTGCAATGCTCTTCACCAACCTCAGACTCCACAGTACACTGAGTTCCTGTCTCCTCCCCTTTATATTCCTCTCTCTACCCAGCCATATTGCTCTTGTCTCCACCTCCCCTAGTGCTGGGATTAAAGGCATGTGATCCTAAATGCTGGAAATCTTCTTTGTGTGAGCTCTGTTTCTCTTTTAGACTGATTCAGTCTTGTGAAGCCCAAGGTGTCCTTGAACTCACAGAGATCAGTCTGCCTCTGTCTCCCAAGTCCTTTGATTAAACGTGTATACTCCCTGACCTATATGGCTAACTAGTTTGTCTACTTTGCCCTCTGGTCTTCAGGCAAACTTTATTTATTAAAACACAAATAATATAACACTATAGGGATTAAAGACATGTGCCATCACTGTTCGGCCACAGTTTCTTTAGTACTAATTTAGAATTGGAAGTTGATGGATTGCTTAAATTTTATATAACACTTAATAAAAAATAAACATAAAACATATAATCTGAGGTCTTTATCTTTTATGTAGACTTCAGAAAGTACTACAATGAAAAGCACACTTGATGAAAGAGAAAAGTATATAAATTCTGTACAGAAGATGAGTGAACCTGATGCTGAGACCAGTCCTGGAAATTTACCAGTGACTGCAAATATGAAAGTGTCTGGGAACCTGAAGCATATTAACCATGATGATGTTTTTGAGGTATGACTTGATTCTGACATAATCAGATTTTCCAATTTAATATTTTATTGATGTTAACATTAGAAGCCTAATATGATTTCAGAAAAATCCTGAAAAAATTTCACACTGCTAAAATACCACTCATCACTTTAAGCTTAAAATTTTGTATTTGTGAGTAAATGACTAGTTGGTAAATTAGATTATGATATGTTACTTAAAATCAATAATTACAAGTGCTTTTATTTATTTTTGTGGTAATGAGTATTAAACTCAAGTTTGTTGTCCATAACAGATCCATGTTATCTTATTCCATCCCCAGATCTTACTTTTATTTCTGTAGTGTCAAAATGAAAAGCTAAAGATGTAGATCAGTAGTAGAGCAATGTTCTAGCTTGCGTACAGCGCTGGATTCCGTCCCTAGCACTGTATAAGAAAGCAAACAGAACAACTTTTTGTTATGCTGTTATGGCTATTATGGCTATACTCGATCATTACATAAATTTTCATCATTGAACATGTTACTCTTGTTCAGTGTCTAAGAACGTATTTCTCATATTGAATAAGTAAAAGCTATAGATCTTTTTTAAAAGCTTTATTGAGAGGTATCTCAAACCTACACAGTTTAATACTTCAAAGTATATAATTCAGCAGCTTAAACAGTTTACAATGTTGTAAAGCCATTCCACAATTACTTGCAGAATATTTTTGACAACCACAAAAGAAAAAGAAATCTCATATATTTTGTACCTCTTCAGGCTTTGCTTCTCCCTCAACTCTAAGCAGCTAAACTTACTTTGCCTGTATAGATTTGCCTATTCTTGGTATTTCGTATAAACAAAATCATACACTTAATATGTTTTGTTTTGTGTTTTTGTTTAATACTGCCAAATGCCCACTGAGCCATTTCACTGGCCTAATATGTGGTCTTTTACATTTTCTTTTATTTACCATATTGTCTTGAATTTCATTTTGTGATATCTCTCAGTACTGCATCTTATTCCTATTGCTGAATAATATTATATTGAATATATATGTCTCAGGTGTAGATGAGATTGCTAAACATATATGGAACTCTAACCTTTTTGAAACTACATCTCAGTTTGTGGCCCCGGATGATCTGGAGCTCACTAAGTAGCCCATGTTGGTATAACTTGTGGTATTCCTCCTATATTAGCCTCATTCGTGCTAGGTCTATAGGTGTGAACTACCATGCCTAGCTGGAACTCCATGGTGGTTTTCGTTATCTCTTAACTCTAGTCCCAGAGGCTCCATAACCCTCTTCTGGCCTCCATGGGTAATGTACTCACATGATACACAGACGTACAAACAGGCAAAATACTCACACATACACAATAAAAATAAACACATCTTTAAAGATATTAATAGAGGTTATCAAACTATTTCATGAAAATGACAGCATTTTTTTGTGCCAAAAACTGAAGCTTCTATGTGGGTTCTGGAAAATAAACCTTTGTCCTTTGCAAGAGCAACAAGTGCTCTTATTTGCTGAGCCATTTCCATTATTCATACCTTTATTATGGCACTTGGGAAAAAATAAAAGTACTTAGTACTGTTTTTCTTTCTTTTTCAGGGGAACAAGTTTTGTAAAGAATTTGTTTTAGTTTCATTTTTCTGCCTAGGAATGAATTAGCCAGCAAGAGTTCTGTTTTCATGTATACTATATATTAAACTCTCTGTTAATAGTTGTTGGCAAGTAATTTTCTTTGCTGACACTATTCAGTAGTAAGTAATCTGGAACAACTGTGGTATATTGGTAATAAACATGGACAATCCCATTTTCAAAATAAGTGAGAATTTCTTAGTTCATATTGATAGCAGTCTAGCCTAGAAAATATCTTAGAAGCTAAGCATACTGAAGAGACTAGACTTGACAATTAGGGAGAGACTCCGTTGAGGGACTCTTTGTAAATTGAATCTTTCAAAGGTAGGACTGTGTTTTGGTCATTTTTGTTTACCTGTAACCTCACATAGCTCTGGCACGTAATAATTATTAATATAGCTTCAAAATGATACAGTAAATATTTTAGTATGTTGTTTATAACTGCTACAGTTTTATTATTGTACTTGAAATGATTAAGTCATGCAGATTTTTAACTATTGCCATTAAAAAGCAATTTCATATATGTTCTTAGTTATATACTTTGTCTTCCCTGTGATGTTTTTCTAGTGTATTTACTCATTTAAAAAGTCCAAAATTAAATTTTTATATTATCCCTCCCCCCTTTTTTTAAACCAGGAATCTGAAGATCTTTCTTCTGATGAAGAAATGAAAATGGCGGAGATGCGGCCCCCATTAATTGAAACCTCGATTAACCAGCCCAAAGTTGTAGCACTTAGTAATAACAAAAAAGGTTAGATGTTGAAGGGTAAAGCATTAAGACTAGAAACTACCTAAATAAGATATATTAATACTGTGGGAGTATATTTTACTGAATGCCAAATTATTGAACCATTTTTAAACACTGCTGTTCCAAAATGTTATTTCCCATTTTTACAGGAAAATATCAGTGGGTCCTCCCTACCCCACACAGACTTTGTTTGTAAGGTCATGGACATTAGAGTGATATAATTATAGATTATAATTCCATTTCTCTTGCTTACGTTCTAAATACATTATCCTTTGTATGCTTAATTTTATTCATAAATACATGAAAATTTTGAAATGCAATGAGGCATGCTAAAGATTTTACATAAAATAAATAGCCTAGTACCTGATATATGCTAGATGCGCACATTATTTTAGTCTTACCTGTTCTAGAATGGTATTAAGCCCTCTTCCTTAGTTTTTGCCAACTAATTTTTTTTTTTTTTTTTTTTTGGAGACAGGGTTTCTCTGTAGCTTTTGGAGCCTGTCCTGAAACTAGCTCTTGTAGACCAGGCTGGCCTCGAACTCACAGAGATCTACCTGTCCCTGCCTCCTAAGTGCTGGGATTTAAGGCGTGCGCCACCAACGCCCGGCGTCAACTAATTTTTATGTAAGAAAATAATAAACTCTTAGAAATAAAGTAAGTTGTAGCAAACACCTATCTTGTCACAAACCTCTTACAACTAGTGCCTGATTAACTTTGCATTATCTCTACCAAATAGCTGTCCAGACTGTTGCCTTCACCGCACTAATGATACTACCATGGTGGTTTATAATGATGCTTAGAAACTATTGAGTACTTTATTTACCAGTTGCTTAGGTACTATTGTGCTAAATAGTTGGGTGTTGTAATCGCCCCATAAAAAGAACTTCAAAGGCAATCTGATGGTATTTTTATAAATGAAGAAACCAAGACTCAAGTACCTTGAGGTTGGGATTTCTAGACCATTTGAGCCATGCTTATAAGAACAACAAACATACCTTTAATCATATGCTGCTCTGTAGCTATGTCTGGGTATACTAGTTCCTTGATTTGCCTAGAATTGAGTTTTTTAAAAAGAGCTGTTTTTATGGACTGTTTTCAAAACTGCTTTTTACACTTCTGCCTTAGTGGAATGTAAATACTGACTTGTTTGCTTGTTTTTTCATTGGTAGATAAACAGGCACATCACAAATTGAGAGATTACCACTTTATAAGCAGTTCTTAAAGTTGGAGAAATACAGAGACCCATGTTTGTTCCCAGCACTCACAATGGGTGGCTCACTTTGAAACCTCAATTCCAGAGGAAGTGATACCTTTCAGCTCTATAGACATTTCACCCAAATGAACACACATATATAAATAAGTGTTTATATTGAAAATATTGAAAATAAGTCTTTAAACATTTGTAAGAAGTAAGGGAACTGACCTTTAAAAATCATTAATTTTGCTTATGTATTGATAACATTGCTCAATTTTATTATAAAAACAAATTGAAAATATTCCATGTGCATAGGAAATAATTTCTTACCCAGATAAACTGTAGGAAGGTTGTGAATGTTAAGTATGTTTTTATTATATGAGTTCTTAAAATGAAAGAACATTTACCAAAACAAGTAGGTAGGCTTTGAAAACTACCCATCATTTTATCAGTAAGCTAAATCAAATCTTAAGTATTTTTAAATTTGATTACATTATAAAATGATACCACAACTTTAAAATTCTTGAATTTTGTATATATTTAGGATTTAATTTTCAGAAATGCCTCTGATTATCTTATCTGTTTACCACCTTGTACATGGAATCAATACAAAAACTTTCCGTAAATTCTTAGTGAGTTTATTATTGCTCTTAAATATTTTTGTTGTTGTTTCAGATGATGCAAAGGATACAGATTCTTTGTCAGATGAAGTCACACACAATAGCAATCAGAATAACAGCAATTGTTCTTCTCCATCTCGGATGTCTGACTCAGTTTCTCTTAATACTGACAGTAGTCAAGACAACTCACTCTGTTCTCCAGTGAAACAAATTCCTACTGGTAGTAACTCCAAAATAAGGTTTGTGAACATTTTAATAATATTATTTACTTATAATAAATAGAAATAGTAATACAAATAATAAATACAGGACTAAACATAAGCATTTTCAGAAATATACAAATTGCTTAGGCAATATATTTCTTTCCATTTTGAAACTTGTTGATTATTAGTTACTTACAATTCTGATATTTTGGTTTTGATTTTGATTTTTCTAGACAAGGTTTCTCTGTGTAACAGTCTGACTGCCCTGGAACTCACAGAGATCCACCTGCCTCTGCCTCCCAAGTGCTGAAATTAAAGGTGTGCACCACCACTGCCTAGCACAGTTCTGTTTTAAAATAGCTTTTTTTAGTTGAGAAAGAAACAACAAAATATAGTAGATTTTTAATTTCTAGGTAAAATGAACAAATATTTATATAAATATTTCTAGATGCCAGAATATATAAACAGCCACTTTAGAGAAATTCATATTGAAAGTAATTTTTATCCTTATAATTCATGTTAATTACTTTCTCTTACTGTGATAAAATGCCATGACCAAAGCAACTTATGAAAGAGATATGGTGAGGAAGAAATGGCAGCAGGCAACTAGAGTAGGAAGCTAAGAGATCATACCTCTAACCACATGAAGAAAGTAAAGAAGACAAATTGGAAGTGGGGTGAGACTATAAATCCTCAAGTCCACTCCTGGTGATGTACTCCCTCCAGCAAGGTTCCATTCCCTGTCTCCCATAGGCTCATGGCCCATATCATAAGGTAAAATGCATTTAAGTCTGTATTAAAAGTTCTCATGGTTTTTAAGTCTTAACAAAAGTCTAAAGTCTCTTCTGAGACTCAATACAGTCTCTTAACTGTGACCTCCCAACCTATAAAATTTAAAAAAAAAAAGAGTATACTTCAGCATGCTATGCCACGAAATATACAATACCATTCTAAAAGAGAGAAACGAGGACATAGTGAGGGAACACTGAACCAAAACTCAGCAGAGCTAACTCCAAATCCTACAGCTCCATGTCCAATGTCAAGTTCTGCCTGTCTAGCTTTGTGACCTTTGCGTACAACTCTCTCTTTGTATACATCTTTCTGTAGTCAGCTTTTGACAGATGTCCCATAACTCTGGTATCTGTAACAGTTTGAAGTTTGTACTGCAACCCAGGCTTTGCTTTAAATGTTCCACGCAGTGGCCTCTCATGGCCCTTTCACAGCAACTCCAATAAAAAAAAAAAGAAACACCTCCTTGCTGGACTTTGCCTGTCCTCAGTGGCTCTGAAACAATATAGGAGGAATCCACCTTACTCTTACATTTTCCCATGGATGTCATTGACAAGTTAAACTGACAGCTCAAGTGGGCCCTTGATACCTCGCCCTACATTAGTAGCGTCTTTTGTATACTGAAGCAGTTCTCCCTGAAGACACCCTTGTCATTGTTCTAATGCAGAGCAGGGCACTGTCCTTAATGGTGATATCTCTAGAACATATCCCTTTTCTAGCACTTGCATTGGCTGTAGTATTAAGTTTTCTAGTGTTTTATTCTCTCCAAACTGCATTTTTCATTTCTTTTGTTCTACTTCCTGTTTGTAATCGATAGTAACTATGCCAGACTCTACATTATACTGTATTGAAATTTCATGCCCCAAAGAAATTAGTTCATTACTTTTTGTTTTGTTTTTAGACAGAGTCTCACCACATAACCCTAACTAGCCTTGAACTCACAGAGATGCTCCTGTCTCAGCCTTTCATGTACTGGAATAAAAGGTGTATATAGTCACAGCGGGCTATTATTATTTTAGCATCAGGCAAGTTCTTTGGGAAGAGAAGGCAGCCAAATTTTTTGCTAACATATCAATGAATGGCCTATAGCACAGTTACTAAGACAGTTGTTGCTTCCCTCCAACCTCTTGAGCAAGACTTTTCCCTTCTTCAGCACTCTTAGTGCTACTGTCTCCAGGTTTCTACTAGAATGGCCTGTAAACTCTGCTTAATTTTTAGTACGACCTTGGTCAGTCCTCCACATTCCTCCAAAAACAATCTGGTCAGATTCTTTACAGCAACAACCCACTCCCTGATGCCAACTTCTGTCTTAGCTTTTTTTTTTTAAATATTTATTTATTTGTTTATTATGTATACAGTATTCTGTCTGCAGGCCAGAAGAGGGCACCAGGCCTCATTACAGATGGTTGTGAGCCACCATGTGGTTGCTGGGAATTGAACTCAGGACCTTTGGAAGAGCAGGCAATGCTCTTAACCACTGAGCCATCTCTCCAGCCCCCCGTCTTAGCTTTTTTGTCTTCACCAAACATGATGTATGGGGAAAAGAGTTTATTTGTGTTTATGGTTCCTAAAGGAGAGTCGTGGCAGCAGGCAACTGAGAGATCACATTTAGACAGAGATTGCTCCTTTGTTCCCGGCTGACCAAACCTGAATAATCTCAGAGAAACGCTATTAATTATGACACTGGTTGGCCAATAGCTTAGGTGTATTCCTACCTGGCTCTTATATCTTAAATTAATCCCTTTCTTTTAATCTGTGTATCACCATGAGGCTGTGGCTTACTGGAAAAGTTCCCACGGTTGCAACGTCTTCCTTCTTCAACAGCTATGAGGTGTCTCCTTGACTCAATCTACTCTCTGGATATATTCTACCCTGCCATAGGTCAAAGGAACTTTTTTCATTAACCAGTAAAAGCAACACCTATACAGAAGGACATTCCACATCAATCACATCTCCAACCATAGCTAGAAAGAGAGAGCAAATTGGAAATGAGGCTCTTAAAGCTGGTCCCTAGCAATGTGCTTCTTTCAGCAAGGCCCCCATGCACTAAAAGTTCCTCCAAATATCATCATCAACTGGAGACCCAAGTGTCCCTACACATGAGCCTATGTGAGGCATTTCTCATTCAGACCACCATGGATATGTGGATCTTACTAGGGAGGTGCCATTTAAGGGTTTATTCAGATACTCTTGTTTGGTGCTATATATTGTCCTCAATATTATAGGAAATATAACAAAAGTAAGGGTAGTAATCAAGGAGAAAAGCAATACTTTTTACATGCTTTTTTAATAATGAACTGTGATTTTTGTATAGTGACTATAGTTTTAGAATGACACGTTTATGAAATATTTGCCAAATACATTATATTTCAGAATAATGGTTATATAGTTTCTTCTTTTGATCCCTTTTTGAACTTAGGTGTTTATACAGTTATTTATTTTAGTTTAACTTAATTGTTTATATATTTGCATTTAATAACTACTTATTATTAATGACATTAATGTAAAGCTTCAGAATTTACTTGTAAAATAGTCCTCTGCCATTTACTTAATCACTCAAGTTACTGTCTGACTCTCAATGTAGCTTTCCCACCTTGAAGCATTTAAAGTTTTAGCACATTTGTGAAATGACACAGAAGATACCATTCTGTTCTTGTTCTTGGCTTAGCCCTGGTAATCTATTTTGTAACAAGTTAGATTGAACATGGTGATTAAAATTAGTCTGTAGGTGGAGTTTTCCTGTGTCCCAGCGGTTGCTTCCCAGACAACTAGCGTGTAGATTTAATACTAATTATAAATGCTCGGTCAATAGCTCAGGCTTGTTACTAGTTAACTCTTATATTTTAAATTAACCCATATTTCTTACCTATCTTCTGTCTTGAAGCTCATGGCTTGTTACCTCATTTTCTGCGCATCCTGCTTCATCTGCATCTGCTGGCATCTTCTCTGACTCCACTTCATCCCAGCATCTTTAGTTGGTTGTCTTACCTGTATTTCCTGCTTGGCTACTAGCTAATCAGCTTTTTATTAAACCAATTTGAGTGACAAATCTTTATGGTATACAAAAGGATTATTTCACAGCATTAATCTTGATATTATTGATGATTTTTAACTGTTTTACTTTTCTCTCACTTAATAAAAATCTCCACTACTTAACATTTTTTTATTTAACTTTAATGTTAACTGATAGAAAAACATAAAACTTGTACATATCAGTAGGTTATAGTGATGTTTTGATACTTGTATATTATAATTTAAGTCTTTATCTGGCGCTCCATCAATTCTTTTAATGTATGTTATCAACAGATCAAATAGTTATTAATGACTTTCTGTTACCAAGAAAACTTGTCTTTATTACTTTCTCATAAAATTCTTTTAGGCAAGAAGATGAAAATTTTAACAGCCTTTTACAAAATGGAGATATTTTAAACAATTCACCAGAAGAAAAATTCAAAGTTAATGATAAAAAGGATTTTAAGTTGCCTGAGTATGATTTGAATATTGAAGAACGATTAGTTCTAATTGAAAAAGATGACTCAAAATCCACATCTGATGAATCTCGCCAGTTAGACCGTATCAACATGAATCTTAATAAACTTGTGACAAATGATATGCGCCAGCCAGAAATCACAGAAAGATCAAAGGCACAAGATATAGTACTCGGAACAGGCTTTTTAAGTGTTCATCCTAAAAGTGAAGCTCAACATACAGAAAATGGAAATAAGTATCCGAATTTGGAATCCATAAATAAGATAAATGGTCTTCCTGAGGAAGTCCCACAGTCTTTTGGTAGGATAGAACCCCAGAATTCTACTTCTTCTGCTGACATGAGTGTTTCTAAAAGCACTGAAGATCTCTCCCCTCTAAGAAGCGGTCCAGTCGGGTCTGTCATGAAGTCTCATAGTATAACTAACATGGAGACTGGAGGCTTAAAGATCTATGACATTCTTAGTGATGATGATCCTCAGCCACCAAGTGCAGCAGTTAAAATGACATCCTCCGTGGACGGGAAGAACATAGTCAGGAGCAAGTCTGCTACACTACTGTATGACCAGCCACTGCAGGTCTTCACTGCTTCTTCCTCGTCTTCTGATTTAATGTCAGGTACAAAGGCGGTTTTCAAGTTTGATTCAAATCATAACCCTGAAGATTCAAATATATTAAGAGGTCCCATAGTAACTGCCCCACAGTCTACACCTCAACTGTATGGTCCTCCACAGTATAACGTCCAGTACAGTGGCAGTGCTGCAGTCAAAGAGACTTTGTGGCACCCTAAACAAAATTCACAAATAGATCCTGTCAGTTTTCCTCCTCAGCGCCTTCCTAGATCAGAGAGTGCCGAAAATCACAGTTACACAAAGCATTCTGCAAATATGAATTTCTCTAACCATAACAATGTCAGAGCCAATACTGCATACCATTTACACCAGAGACTTGCTCCAGCCAGACATGGAGAAATGTGGGCTGTTTCCCCAAATGACCGGCTAGTTCCAGCAGGAGCTCGGACTGCAGTTCAGCGACAGAGTAGTGTATCTTCAACAGCTTCTATGAATCTTGGTGATCCTGGTCTCACGAGGCGTGCTCAGATTTCTGAAGGAGATTATTTGTCATACAGAGAGTTACATTCAGTGGGAAGAACGCCAGTGATGTCAGGATCACAGAGACCGCTTTCTGCACGAGCATACAGCATTGATGGCCCAAATACTTCAAGACCTCAGAGTGCCCGCCCCTCTATTAATGAGATACCAGAGAGAACTATGTCAGTTAGTGATTTCAATTACTCACGGACTAGTCCCTCAAAAAGACCAAATGCAAGGGTTGGTTCTGAACATTCTTTATTAGATCCTCCAGGAAAAAGTAAAGTTCCTCATGACTGGCGAGAACAAGTACTTCGACATATTGAGGCCAAAAAGTTAGAAAAGGTAATTGAACGTGAGTTTTTTAAATTCTTTATGAATTTATTTATTTTTCTTAGAAATGGTTTATCCTTTGTTTTTAATCAGTGAAATAACACAGTCCAAATTATTTTCTACTTACAATGTAAGTGTTTTTTCCTGTTGCTGGAACCAGAGTTCTATATTTAAACTTAAGCCAGACAAGTGAGATGATTGTACAAACTGCTTTTTTACTCCTGAAAGTCTCTGATGGTCATGCAGTCTCCTTATGCTTGTGTGTCTCTTTTAGCCTGTACTCACAAACTGGATTCAGTATATATATAGACAGCCATGCTCAGCATTTTCTGAACTGATTACTACCAATGCTGATTGTTTAAATGTTGTAAGGAAAATACCAGTTTACTGTATAATTACTAAGATAATGAAATATATTTGTAAATGTAAATATTTCATCAAAAATTTTTTCTGCAGTCTATATTAAATGAACTAACATCACTGACACAGATGACTCTGGCAGCATGGCATTTATTTTTTACTTTGCTGAATTATATTTCTGATGTTTTTGAACAACTCAGTTGAGTGTTTTTGTGGCTATAGTGCAACTTGGAAAACTTGGTATAATCGCTAATGCTTATGTCCATCTCATAACTTTATTTATAAATCTGTGTCTTTTGAAAGGATACATTGTTATGTGGCCCAAAAATATAAAATATAATTCTTATGCCAGGCTTGGTATCATACACCTGTAACTGCAGTCTGCAGGAAGAGGTTTGAAGCCAGCCTGGGCTACAAAGAGAGATCTTATTTCCCCTTCCCACTCCCAACCAAAGATTTTTTTGTTATTAAGACTCGGCTTTATGTATCTCTCTAGGTTTTCTTTTTAAAATTACTCTTTCTCTATTTATTAAAGCTATAGTATATTTTTAAATACAGCTGAATATATGTAGTCTGTTGCTTTATAAATTCCTTAATTTATAGGAAAAAATGCAAAGTATGGATTATTTCTTTCTAGTCATTTGTAATATGTTTATTTTTTTAGCTAACATCTGTCAGCTGTAGCTAACTTCATCTTCATCCTTTCTGTTTGCTATAATTCTAACACACTGTTGAGGCTGTTTGAATTTGTGTTCATTTTGTTGGGAATTTGAAAATTTCTACAGCTGAGATGAGGAACATGGGTCTAATTTATAATGAACTTGTGTTTCACATGTGGAAGTAGATTTTAGAAGAAAAGGTTGTCAAAGAGGCTGTTTCAGAGACTTGAATGAGAATGAATGAAGTGTTTATTAGTAGGACGGAGATACAGGAATGAATTTCATGAGGACATCCTCAAAGTTTGATTGTAGTTGAATACTCCTGTACTTAGTTACTGTGGATAAGGGACAAGACTTGAGGGTTTGTGCTTTGCATAGGTGACTGTTTGGAATTCTGCTATTATCAGAGATAAAGGAGGGATTGCTGGTACAGATGGTTTTTATCTGGTATAGTTTACATCATAAGTGGCTTATTCTCCCACTCTTCTGTTTGATAGAGAAGTATCTGAACTTCAGTAAATAGGAAGCAAGCAGCATCTATCTCATTGTTGAATATGCCTTTTAGTTTTTTCTTTCCATTGCATAAATTATGTATTTTTAAATTTGATACACAGTTTCTTAGAAAATATATGACAGTGGTTTTATAGTTGTATTCTGAAAGTCAACAATTAATTCATTGGATTTATGAAATAGAACACTTGCAAGAAAGAAAATTGAAAGGCTGAATTCAAATCCGCTGTTGATTAGAGGGAGAGAGAGATGAAAAGTTTTCTCCTCAACTATTCACTTCTGTAATCTTAGCACTAGATGCGGTAGAGACAGTAATTCAAGGTCTGCTTGGAACTACATGATACCCTGTTTCAGAAACAAACAGTGTTTCTTGGGTACGAATGCAGAGAATAGGGAGAGACAGTTCACCTTGGCTGAATTAAGGATTTATTTATTTTTGAAAAAAATTGATAGTATGTTGGTTGAGTTAGGAGAAACAGAATGTTCTAACAGTTAATTTTACATAAGATAGCATAGTATAGCTATCTTTTGTAAAATAGTTCTAAACTTAAACAGAACCTTAAGATACTCTTACCACCACATTTTTTTGAGATTGCTAAGTGGTGGTGGCACAGGCCTTTAACCCCAGCACTCTGGAGGCAGAGGCAGGTGGGACCTCTATGAGTTCGAGGCCAGCCTGGTTAACATATGAGTTGAAGGCCAGCCTGGTTTACAGAGCTAGTTCCAGAACTGGCTTCAAAAGCTACAGAGAAATCCTATCTCAAAAAACAAACCTTCCCATATATTTCTCCCACTCTTTAAAATGTAAGTCCTCTTTTTAATTTTATTATTGCATGCATATAATGTATGCACATGTTAATTCATAAATAGAACCTTCTCAGTTCATAGTAATGTTACTTGTAGGTATGTTTTCAGGACTGTTGGTACTGGACAACCAGTTGGTGTACTTTTCCCTAGAGAAGACCACCTCCCCAACCCCCTTCTTTCCTCTTTCATATCACCACATTTTATGAAGGAAATTGAGGGTCAAAACAGCTAAGTAACTGACCCAGGATAATCTATATTATATGGCAGGAACAGAATAATTTTAAAAATTCAGGAGGAAATTTTCCGTGTGAATATTACAGGAAACCATTTTTTTTATTACAACATGATGATTGATAATGATGAAAGAGGCATTTTAGGATTTTTCAAGCAAATGTGTTCAGCATGAATTGATGATTCATACCATACCTAAGATTATGGATTCTGTAGAGATCAACTTGAAATACACTTTAATGTCATTTTAAAAAAATGTTTAAGTTACATTTAGAGTGTGTGTGTGTACATGTGTACATTTATCCATAAAAACTGTACTAGGAATTCAAACACACGTATACAGTAGTCAGAGGAAAACTTGTAGGGATACCAGGGATAATGCTTGCTGGTACCCTATCCTTACTAACCTAAAATATATTTTAGTCCTGAGTGAAAGAAAGAAATTTAAAAACTTTACTTGATCATCAACTTTTTTTTTAATTCTAATAGTTTTGAGAATGGAGTTTTTAAAGCATTGTGACACTGTGTGGAGATTTGGCAAGATATAACTTACTTGGTTTTGAGTTAATTGAATTTGATGTGATAATAGGGCATAAAATTATTTCTAATCTTTATTATAGTACAGAGACATACTTTATTTTCTTGTGTTCAGTAATGTTCTAAAAGTATTATATAAGATTCTGAAAGTTGACACTTTTAATTGTAGAAACTACTTTATGCTTTAGTCTGGCAGTTTTTCATTAGGTGTGAAATAGTAGCGTACATACCCAATACAAGTACTTCATAATGATGCTACTAATTAGCTACTTTAAATAGCAACAAGATTTAAACTGTAAACTTCAAAGTATTGCTTCAAGATGTTGGCAGATATTAAAGGACCCCGTTCTTTCCTTGGCACTGTGCATGTGGACATGCACACATGCATAATTGAAGGTGGTGGAGGAGGCAGCATGGGAAAATGCTTCCCTTACCTTTTGAGGTACTCAAATTTTTTGCTTTGCATAGTAGTTTATTGAAGCATATGCATTTGTGACCTTTTAGTTATAACCCTCTCCTTTATCCATAAAATAACTGTACTAAGAATTCAAACACATAAAATAGATTTTACTTTGAAGATCTTACCACTGACTTAAGTAAATTAACAAAGAAAATTTGAAAAGGAATTAAGCTGGGCGGTGGTGGTACAACTTTAACCCCAGTACTCTGGAGGCAGAGGTAGGTAGATCTCTGTGAGTCCAAGGCTAGTCAAACCATTTCCTTTCAGAGTTGAATTATCACTAATACTACCATTTGCTGATATCCCTACCTGTATAAAAAAATCAGATATAAAGTACTCTAAACCATATTAGTACAAAGTGGCCCTTGTCTCATTTACTTGTTCTTGTTAGATAATAGGTGTCCACCTAGTACACTGATAACCTTTGGTCACAACCCCTAGGAGGTTACATATCAGATATTTACATTATGATTTATAACAGCAAAATTACAGTTATGAAGTAGCAATGAAAATATTTTTATGGCTGGGAGTCACCACAACATGAGGAACTGTCCTAAATGGTTGCAGCATTAGGAATGTTGAGCACCACTCTTCCAGGGCCTGGCTAACACAGAGGTTTGTACTCAGCCCTGTTTTCTCTCTACATGATAACCATCAGGCATATTGACCAACAGTGCCTAGTACAGTGTGCCTAGCATTTAGTCAAGTTAATATGCTAAAGCCAATACTTTAGAATCCACAAAATACCTAAGGAGTAATAATTTTATAGATCTTTTTTCTTTTGGGAGTCTGTTATTTTGTGGTATTAGTTACCAACTTCAAAATTAAGAGAATATATTTCTGAAGAGTAATATGTAAATGCTTGCTGTTTCATTTCTCTATTTTAGTAACGGGTTTTGCCTAAAATGTGGTTTCCCTTTTTTAAGCTATCAAGCCCCATCCACATTGAAAATCTAGGAATGATGAAAATCAGAAGTGTTTTTATTAAAATGCATATTTAATTTTTGGTCAAATACAAGGGTCTTCATGAAAACCCAAACTGTAGAAGGATACTCTTATTGGGCCACCACTAACTCCAAAATGCAATAACCATCTACTTGAATGGGAAATGTTTGTCAACATAAAGTTTTTCTAGAATTGTTTTGATGATTACAGAATGACAGACACCTCTACAGAGGACTCACCTTTGTTTCCAGCACCTAATGTAAAGTGGTTCACAAGCTTTTATAACCCCAACTCCAGGTGATCTGATGACTCTCTCTGGTCTCCATGGCCACTCATATACTGGATATACATACATGTGTGCACAAACACATATACATAAATAAAAATAATAAAATATTTTTAAAAGTTACATTCTACAATTTAAAATATTTTTCAAAATGTGGAAAATAAGTTTTTGAAAGAATGAAAATGACTGGTAACCAGGTGTTTATCACAGAGACAGTTTGCTGTAGCATATATGTTTAAATGTTGATATTATTTAATAGTAGAATTCCCGTAGAATTAAATAGATCCTTTAGAAACTTATTTGACTGAGAATTACTGATTGCTGGTAAATTCATCTGATGTTGAAAATTTTGCTTATGTAAAACTTTATATAAATAAACACATACCTGAGTGTGTGCTCAGTTTCTGTTTCAGACATACTAATAGACATAAAGGAAATGGTAGTGTCTAATAAACAAAAGCAACTATATGTTTATACTTCTTTGATTCTTAAGCATGTGATTAAACATGATTATACCTGTTTTTTATGTATGTGTTATATAGCCGTATGTATCAGTTTCTTTTTGACTCTGAATTCAGTGTTGCATGATACTTGTTTGTGGTATGGGTGGGGTTACTTGTAAATAAATCTGTGTGCATAACATGTCTTGTGGAATTTGCATGCTACACTAATCTTCTGTAAATCTACCCTTTCTTTATATAGAGTATGCTGTCAAGGTCCTTTAATTCCACTCTTACTGCTGTAAGCAGCTCTCACTATGGCAGCTCTAGGGATCTGCATGGCAGCCAGGGCAGCCTTGCCCTGAGTGTTGCAGACGGAAGAGGTTCTGGTGGGCACATTTTTCGAGTGAGTACCGATAGTAGGCTAGTACTTTTTGCACACATGAGAACATTCGGATCTTAAGTGTTTTGACATTTCTAGGGGAAAAGGTTCTGTAAGTTAGAAATCTTTGTATTTTCTGGGTTATTTTTTTTTATATAGCTTAGATCTACAACTTCTGTCTTTAATTTTTTTGATCATAAGTTAATGATTTTTAGCCAGGTGATATAAATTTATAAGTCCAGTAATTAAGAATCAGCTAATAAAAAACACTATATGCACCAAAGTTTAATCCCATTTCACTGAATATGACTAAATATGAGACTGAAGAAGTTGTAAAAGTATAGTAGAAAGGAAAAAATCCAAAACTTATTTAAAACATTTCATCATGGTCATTAGTGGTGGAAGATTTATTATTTAGTGATCATTTAAGAGTTAGTTATAAGGACTGCCAAGAGTGAACAAAAACAAGGCTGTCATGGCTTGATAAGGACTCACAGCCTCTAAATAAATCTCCCCTTCTGCCCTGAATGACCTTTCTTCTCTACAACCTTCTTTTATTCCTTCTCATAGTTTATTTCCATTTTGACTCTTTTATTGTTCTTGGCTCTTCACTTGTTCCCCAGACCCCTTCCACCTTCATCCCTGGATGTTCTCTGTTATGTTCTAGAGCAGGAACAGTTTTCTGGATTCAGTGGGCTGTGACTGCTCTGAGCTGGTCTTGCCCTGCGCTCCGCCATCTGCCATTACTTGGTGTCTTTGCTGTGTGCCAACAGCGGTCATCGAACTTCTTAGTTTAGAAGAAGAACAAACAGGCTGATGACTGCTGAGTCAGCCTTTACTTCAACATGCCCGGAGTGGATTTTATTACTTGGGAATCTTTGCCATTCATAGTCATCTAGACAGTTGTTCTTTCTAAATTTGTTTTACAAAAATATTTTGTCCTTATTTTCCTTGGATTTAAAGTTTATACAGACTTTGAATTTTAGTTTTTCATTTACAATGTGCTTTTGTATATCATGCGTAAGTGTAGTTGTCTATTCAGGCTTGAGTATAAGTTTCTAGCTTTGAGCTGTGTTGATTATATATTCTAAATGTATATCACAAAAAGAGAAGAAAAATTAAATACGTACTGTTAGTAGACAAATTAGATCAAATCACACCGAAAAATGCTAAGCCATGCTTTGAACTAGCAACTAGCTGGACACGATATGTCAGTTGCAAGTATTACTTTTTTAGATTAAATACAAATTCTTAAAATTGTATGTGTTCCATGGTGTATTATTTTGGAGTGTATTTTGAGTTATTTTTCAATATAAAATTTAATGTTTTTGCTGCTAAGCATGTCTTGAAAGAAGTGAAAGCAGCAGTGAAACATACTGTGCTTTGTTTTTAAATTAGGTGTGCTCAGAATTAACTCATGGTGGATATAGATGTTTAAATTAGGTGTGCTTAGAATTAACTTACGGTGAATATAGATGTTTTATTCTTATCATATTTATTAAAACAGTCAGGGATAATGACATTTAGCCTTTTTTTCATTAAGGTTATCACTAAGTTAAACTATAATTTAGCATATGGAGGTATGAATTAGTTAATGTTAAAGCATTTCTTTAAAACAGTGCCTTTAAAGTATTGAACCAATGTTAATATGACAGAATTATAGCACAGTGAGTTTTATACAGTGGATTTAGGGGCATTGCACATCATTGTAATCAAGGGGTGTTCTTGGTGGTGTCATGAGATCAAAGCATACCAGTTCATTTTCTTTTAATGAAAAACACTTTCTTTAGTGCTTTACAATAATTTATTAGTTGCTCTTAAAATTGGAGAGAATTAGCTAGCTTTAACCACTATACTTATTGAGTAAAGATATTAAGTTATAAGTATAAATGAAAGTAAAAGAAAAAACATTAAATGGTATATATTATAAAGATTAAAAATGTCTGTCTTTTTAAATTTTTTAACATGTTACAGGAACAAATGTTTTGCTATGTACCTTTGAAGGAAGCTAAAAGACCTGATGACAGTGATGATGATAGTATCTAACTTGAGTCTTCTGTGTCTCCAGTCAAGCAGCATTTCTTAAGCTTCTTTCATGCATCTCATTGTTTTGTTTCACATCTTAAAGTATATTATTTGTTTACTTTTTTCCTCCCTCATTTGAAGCATCCTCAGACATGCAGTCCAGGAGATTCTTGCCAAGATGATAGACTGATCTCAGGGGAGCAGAGCTACTCATCAGGTGCACTTAGTCTCAGAGACCTCCCAGACAGCGTGGTGAAAGTAGGTGCTCACAGCGGTGAACAGAGCCGCGTCTCTGAGCGCACTGTTTTCATTGTTGTAATTTGAAATCTCATATGTACTTTGGAAATACTTTATAAGGCTTGCTTTTATTATGTAGGATTATTTTTAAATGATTCGTAAATGCAAGAGAATTTGACTCTGCTGTTTCTTGATTTATTTTGTGATTTTTCACACTAGAGAATCGATTTATAATTACATTGCTTGCTACAGTTCCATCTGCTTATTTTAGCATTTGAATTAATAACTGTTTGGCATTCTTGACAATAAACCTACTTGGAGAGTTAGACAATGACTTTGTCTTAAATTATGCATTCTAGAATATTTTATTGTTAATTAAAAACATTTGAAAATCTTTAGATAGAATTAGAAATCATCTTGAAAGACCATGTATATAGTAGAAGAGGTGATCATTTTGTCTTTTTTAGTATTTTGTAGGAAAAACCTTACAGATAAAATATTTGTAGCAGTGCCAAAGATAATTCTTGTTCTCTCTCAGCTATTTTTGCTTTACCCACTTGCATGCCTCTAGTGTAACCAGGTACAATAGTTATTACTCACGTTTATTATATACAACTTTTAAGTTGCTCTTGAGGATAGGCATCCAGCCATCTGATATTTAAGCTCATACGTGCTTATTTATTTTATCCCTTTCCTTTTAATTCAAAGCTGTCATTCAATTTCTTTTTTTTTTAACATGCACCTTACAGCTTAGTTCTTAACACTTTTTTTTCATGAGTCATTGACTAAACATAGCTTAATATATTTCTTATTGTTTAAGATTGGTTTAGACAAAACTGAATATCCAGGTATCAGCAGCTTTTAAGAATAGGAGAGACTCAGTGTAATAGCACGTGTCTGTGTCCTACCACTTGAAACCCACGGCTGGAAGGTCAAGAGTTTGAGGCCAACATGGGCTACGAGGTCAGGGAGGCTGAAGAAGAAAGATGGCTCAGTGAATAAAAGCAGCAGTCCTTGAGTCTGACAGAATGAAGTCAATCTCTGGAAACTACGTGGTGGAAAGAGAACAGACCCCTGAAAGTAGTCTGACCTTCACATATGCCATGGCATGCATGCACTGACTAATATATATATATTCTTTCTAAACAACAAACCTTTTTGTATCTTTAGCAAGATAGAAGTTCACAGTATACAATTCTGAAACTTCTGTCAAACTCTATGTTTGGATGATTTTGGGGGGGAATTTTAGTTTTCTTCTAATGTCCTTTGGGCAGAAATTCTTTTCAGTTAGCCTACAAGGAAATTTAAATGATGAATAACAGAAACAGGCTCTCTTTAGCTACATTCTTTGTAGAATAAAATAAGCTATTTACTACAAATGTAATCCAAAGTCTAAAATTCAGGTTCAGTTTCCTAATACATGGGGGTTATTAAATGTAGTTAGTTCATTAGCAAACTAATAATTTCACAAAATTTGTGGTGGTTCTATTTTGTAGTAAATAAAGTAGAATATCAGTATTTTGACTATTGTGTTTTTAAATATTCCATAGAATTACTATTTAGAGAGCTTGAAAATTACTGATAATATATGCATGCATAAAGAATAAATCACTTAATTTCTGTGTAGATAGCTGAAATTTATTTCTGAAAAGTAAGAAAGTTAAAATATATTCAAATTAAGAAAAAATTATACTCAATTAGTTTTTTTCTTGAGAAAAAACATAACTACACTCACCTTTTATGTATGTTATGATTTGGTATGAGAAAAGTATAACCTTCTAGTAGGATAACTTAAGTTTAATTTCTTATATATAAAAATTTTGTTTTATGTATATCAATAGTTAAAGTTTTCCAGTATACTTATTTCCTACTTTAACATTGGTAAGTGTAATAGTAGATTTATATATAACAGAAAAGCAATTTAAAATATAGATCGAGGCCTTCTTTTAAAAGTTTGCTGATGGATTCAATCAGTAAATATTCAAGAAAGTTTAGAATCTAGATATTAATAATTTTCTTTCTTTTGGAAGTTTTAAACTTAGAAGAATAAGTGAGAGTAACTCAGTATTTAATGGTGTATAATATTAAAACTCTAGTGCTTTTGTATTGCTCCAAGAAGAATGTCCAAGTACTTGTAATAAGACATTATTACTGGTTATTTTAAAGATAATTCATGTTTTTCTTAGATGCCTTTGAGTAATGGACAGATGGGCCAGCCTCTCAGGCCTCAGGCAAATTATAGTCAAATACATCATCCCCCTCAGGCATCTGTGGCAAGGCATCCCTCTAGAGAACAACTCATTGATTATTTGATGCTGAAAGTGGCCCACCAGCCTCCATATACACATCCCCATTGTTCTCCTAGACAAGGTCAGGAGCTGGCAAAGCAAGAGGTAAGAATTATCAAGACTGTTTGAAATATGAAATTAGGTTTTCCATATATTCTTACAGGTTAATAGCAATATATTCATATAGAATTTTAACAGTAGTTTTTACCATTTTGTTTTAAGTTTATAAAGTTTAGTTTTCTAAAGTGTTAGACTTTGTAGTTTTTAACTTGACTTTATGATCATGTAACATAGGATTTAGTGTTGGGGGTGTGGGTTGGTTTTTTTTTTTTTAATTCTAAATCAACTGCTTGTCCAAGTGGATTGATGGTGCTCCGTTAGATTTTCTTCTAAGACTATAAATAGTAGACCAGTAAGCTGAAGTGGTCCTGTTCTACACCAGAGTCTGAGCTTTTCGATTAAGAAATTCAGCTATAGTCTCCAGACCATGTTGAGGGTTTGATCTTCAAAACGTATAGGTCATAATTTCTTATACCTTAATGGTTTATTCATGAAGTAATAACCTTGAAACCCTTGGTATACATTTTGTTTTGAGCAAGTCTATGGTAAACAACATTCTTTAACAGAACTTTAGCTTCTATAACCTGCTATACCAGCACCTTGAAGGCTGAGGCTGGAAGGTAGTGTGTCCAAGGTCCACTTGGATGCATCAGACAATCCAGGCTAGCCTAGGCTGTTTAGTGAGACCCTTTGTTAACAAAACAAGCCAGCATTTAGGTCCCAGAGGCAGGAGGATCTCTGTGAGTTCAAGTCCACCTGTTCTACACAGCAGGTTCCAGGACAGCCAGGGCTACATATGTAGGTGAGCCTGTCTCAAGAAAAGAAAACATTTCTACACCTTTTATTTTACAGTAGTTTATAAAAACTGCTGTTAGTCAGTCTGATCTTACAGTCCTAATTCCCCTGAAGGTTATAAACAGAGGGAGTGAAGGGTTGAGTTCTAAAGCCAGTTCTCAATGTTAAGTATCTTATGGCACAAGACAGTAAGCATGTAATTTAAGTGGTCTGTAAGTGAAGACTGTTGGGAATGTGCATATGTGTTCTGTAGATATGCATCATGATGTTAAAATTAAAAATTCAGGCTGACTAAAAAGTAAAATAGAGCCAGTGTCAGTTGATTGACTGAAGTCATAAGTAATGTTAGGAGCCACGCTTTGTAATTCCGCTGTGCCTTTCCCTCACTAACTCATTAACATGAATAATGGTGCTCTGTGTTGTCGTGTCACCTCATCTGCTTGAACTTAATTCACCAGTATTTAAATATGGATATTATTGTATATTTTTTCTGGTATAGTGATATTTCCTTTATTTTCATATTAAATCAGATTCGAGTAAGAGTAGAAAAGGATCCAGAACTTGGATTTAGCATATCAGGAGGTGTTGGGGGTAGAGGAAACCCTTTCAGACCTGATGATGATGTAAGTTTTTTTAAAAAAAAAATAATTCCCTTGTACATTCATAATGTCTCATTTATTAATCTCATACTTAATGAGTGAAAATCTAATGTAAATTTTCTGGGTCTCTCATCTCTTTTCTTTCTTTATTATCTTTGTTTTTGAAATTTGCTTATTTCACGTTGTTTGAAATAAAGAATTTTACCTGAAATGTGAATATTGATATTACCAAGTGATTTTTAGTTTTGGTACTGCTTCTCCAAAACTGCATAGAAGTGATTTCATTGCATTTCTAAAGTCAGAATTACTAGAGGGAGAAATTATGTTGACCTGTTAGAGGGATACTCTGAAAAATCAAGAGACAGCTTCCACCATGTTCAAGTATTTGCATGGTATTGAAAAGGTTTTCCCTTGCTCCTGAGTCATGCTTTCAGTTTGTGGTTTGGCCTTAAATAATAATAATAATTAATAATTTTTGTGGTTGTTCATTAAAGGGTATATTTGTAACAAGGGTACAGCCTGAAGGACCAGCATCAAAAATACTACAGCCAGGTGATAAAATTATTCAGGTAATGAAGTTAACCTTTTTTATTTTCTTTCATTTTGCAATAATTTTATTTTACAGTACTTTCTAAATGTTTTAGAGTTTTAAATAGTTTTACTTTACTCTTTGAAAGTCATGTTTATATGTTGATGCATCATTTTAAGTTTAGAAATGTTTTTACTAATTTAAGAGGATCTACTTGAATGCTAGTTGTCATTATATCAGATAGTAAAATTTTTAAATCTGAGAAGCATTTTGGTATTTCCACTCCTTTTCTATATTACTTCAGTAACTTTATTATACCTAAGTACACGCAGTTTGACAGTCTCTTAGTTCTCAAGGATAGTCCACTTCCTCCTTCCTACATGAACTACTGTTAGTTAAGATAATAATACGAAGAAGCCTTCAAACCAAAAATGATAGAGACATTATAGAGTTTAGTAGTTGAAAGTAAATACCACCTCAGAACAAATCCCTGCCCAGCCCTTTTTAATGTTAGCTCAGTGCCTGCTTCAGCAGCACATACACTAAAATTGGAGTTACTAAAGGATGACATGCAAATTCATGATGATAAAATTTTTAATGGTTTTGATTTTTAAATAATTTCAAACTCAGAAAACTCACAGGAACTGTGTAACAAAAGTGATCATGCTTTGCCACACTATCTTTAGTATCCATTTTTCTTATTGCTTTTGGGCCACCAACCAACTCTCAAATCATGACACAGATTTATTAGTTAAGAATAATCAGCCTTAGTTTACACTTGTTTCTTGCTAGTTCTTATAACTTATTTTAACCTGTTTCTCTTCATCTACGTTTTGCCTCGGGACTTTTTACCTTTCTTTCATTCTGTATGGCTGGTCCCAGGCATCTCCCTCTCTTTTTCCCTTGTTCTCTCTCTCCTTCCAGGAGCCTCGATTCCTTCTCCTACTTATTCTCTCTGCCCGCTAGCTCCGCCTATCCCTCTACTCCCTAGCTATTGACTGTTGAGCTTTTCATTAGACCAGTCAGGTGCTTTAAGCAGACAAAGCAAAACAGCAACACATCTATACATAATTAAACAAATACAGCATAAACAAATGTAACACATCTTTACATAGTTGATCAAATGCATTATAAACAAATGTAACAACATCTTTGCCTAGTCAAACAAATATTCCACAGTATTATTTTCCCTCTATAGATAGCCCCACATAAACATTCACACACATACTTTTCTGAATAACATGAGAATCCATGCTTTCAGTTTTGTGGCAGGAAGTTATTATTTCTGTTCAGACATTCCTGGGTTTTCAGTCTTCTGAAATAAGATAAGTCTGTAGTGTTGCTTTTAATCTATAGTGTTCTCTTTAAGAATGAAAGGATTTAATTCATATGAAACACTTCAGTATGTATGTCTGTCTGGTCCAGAGTGAGAATTCAGTAAATGCTAGCTATCTTTTATATAACCTGTTTGCTGATCTTGAACCAATGGCTCCAATGAATAAGAAGTCTAGACACTGCCTGCAATTACCCTTGAAGTTTGGTAAACCTGGGTCTACCTTAACACATACATAAAATACCCTATCTGATCCTGTCTTGACAAGTACTTCCCAACATTTGAAACAATGTATTAGAATTGTATGAGGGTCTGAAGAGATGGCTCAGTGGTTAAGAGTACTTGGCTGTTCTTCCAGAGGATCCAGGTGGGTTCCTGGAAACAAAAATCTGTAACTCCAGTTCCAGGCCATCTAATACCCTCTTCTGGCCTTCTTGAATACCAGGCACAAACACACATGCAGGCAAAGCATCCATACACCTAACTTAATAAAATAAAATTTATTTTAAAAGAATCATCTGATAACCTGAACAAAATACAAGTTCCTGGGTTATTTCTATAGAGATCTTATTTCTGCTAAGTATGGAATGTAGGGACTGTTAGTCTGTGTGTGTTTTTAATTTTGTGTATATGTGTACAACACACATGTGCTGAACTTCATGAGTACAGAGGTCAGAAAACAACTTGAAGGGGTCAGTTTTTTCCTTCTGTGATAATGGTTCCCCAGCGTGGAGTCAGATGGAATCATTCCATCAGCCAGTGTGTTGTTTTAAATTGCTGGACTGGTCCTTTTTTCTAGTAGGTTATGAACTGGCTGTCAGAAATTTACAACTAGAAATGCAGATATTTTTCTGAGATTTTTTTTCTAAAAGTTATTTTCCCTCTTTCTTCTAGGCTAATGGCTACAGTTTTATCAACATTGAACATGGACAAGCAGTGTCCTTGTTAAAAACTTTCCAGAACACAGTAGAACTCATCATTGTACGAGAAGTTTCTTCATAAGGACTATAGACAAAAAAGAAGAAGAAGAAGAAGAAGGAAAAAAAGGAAAAAGGAAAAAAAAACAAATGGGGAAGATAGCAAGATTTATTGGAAGACACTTGGAGGGGAAATGACTATTTTGCTTATTTTTATATATAAAGAAGAACTCAGACAGTTGGCTTGGAACTTGTACATTACTGAAATAATAATGGAACTGTGGTTAGAGGGAACGAACCACTGTACAGAAGATAAAAAGAGACTGTTGAATTTATATCATATGAAATTTGTTGTTAGGTTTTTAAGCTTAGCAAATCGAGGCTACAAAAACAAAATTATGTTGTTTTTGTATAGAACGTAGGTTTATTTTTGGATTTCATACACATGACTGACTGTATGCAAGGCAATAGTTAGCCTTGATTGTAGCCCAGAGACAGATGGCAGAGCTATCTATCTCATAGCTTTTGTGCCCTTATTTTTATCCAACTGGTATTAATGTTTTTTCTGCCGAACTACTTTTTTCCATGTGGGTAAGAGATTTGAAGTGTTGGCTTTTGCTATGTGCATACTGAAGAGTGGTTAGATGAAGTTGGTGCTGGTGGGTTCACTTTCCGAGGCCAGAATAAAACATTATTTCCTATAAAAATCTGAGGCTAACAGTGGGAAAAAAAAGTTATCTGATAATGTATTTTTATTAATAGAGTAATGCAATAAAATACATAATGTCTTTTTAAAAGACAATAATTGCATTTTATGAGCTCTGCAAGATCGATTCTTGTCTTAGCTGTTGATTATACATTTGCTACTGGTGATTCAATTTTTAATTTTTTTAGTTACTGAAGTTTTTAACTCTAATGTAGATGCATGTCCACACATTTCCCATACTACGAAGTTCTCTGATATTTTTTTCTTTAGCAAATGGTGGTACTTGCAATCTAATTTTTATAATTAGTACTCCATAATTAATTTATAATTTTTGTTTTAAGAAGCAAATTAAACCCAAAAGGCCAGTTTTAAGATTGTGTCTGTTGCCTATAATACGAAGTGTCAGAAGGTTTAGGAAAGCCTCTTGATTTTGTTTGGCCTGGCGTTGCCTTGGTAAAGTGAAAGGAACTGTGGAGTACGCATGGAGCTAGGAAACCAAAGCAAGTCTGTGAGACTGCGCAGTGATAGAGAAGTGCTGTGGAGAGCGGTGGAGCAAGGGATGGTCCCTGAGGCCTACCAGTGTGGAAAGGGTTCAAGTCAAGGGCTGTTCCTCCAGATCACGTTAAATGTGAACTCCACACTTGAGAGTCTTTAAAAGGGTTTCTAAGTGTACAGTGTAATAGTGTTTTACCACCAACTGCCTTTGTTCCTAGTTACTGTAACAAGTATTTGATGGTAGAGGTTATTTTGTTTATCCAAACCATTAATTTTATTTGCTTTTGTTTTATGTAATCAAATAAAATTCAAATGACATGCATGGTTATTTGGACCAAGGAAAGTGCCATAGGAGACCAGCAACTGTTTTTAGTTGAGGCTAGTCTGAAAACTTTTATTAGAGCAATATTCATTTCTCAGATTCATTTTTAAATTTCTCATATGCATAATTTGGGTATTTTTAATGTGATACGCTTTTTCTTCAACCTTGACTTAGTTGAGAATCTTGGACTAGCTAAAACAGCACCTGCATTATTTTTACAGAGTGAGTTGAAGCATTTCCATTCTAGTCAGAATAGTCAGCACTTTTAAAACATTTGAACTCAAATTGCACTTCTTTCAGGCTGTTATCAATTGGGTATTGTATAGTTTTCATAATTTTGATTGAAACCCTTTAACAACTCTTTGTAAATTTTAACTCATTTTAGTTGATTTTTCAGTACTATTTACATAGGAATTGATTTTTATGAATATAGTAGAAGAAATGTGCTGTATTTTGATAAAATTCACTTGTATGTGTTGTAATCTCTAAAACAAAGAATGACAAACAGCTTCTTTAATATAAGTCTCGGTGTTCCCTTTGTTCTTACTTTATGGCGGCATTGTAAGATAGTCACACTCTCCCTTTGTTGACTTCACATTTTCACAGCCACTTTAATTAGAAATAAGTAAAATAGATATAATTGTACAGTTCTCAATGGTCTTAACTCAAACCAGAATTGTTGATTATAGTTTTGCAAAAGGAATTAGGCTTCACAGAATCAGGGCTTCTTCAGTGATCTACCCTACATATTCCTGTTGAACTATTGTGAGTACAACAGATGTTATATACTCTGTCATTTTATTGCGCTGTCCTTTTCATTTTTGGAGTATTTATTTATTTATTTATTTATTTATTTATTTATTTATTTTGGTTTTTCGAGGCAGCGTTTCTCTGTAGCTTTGGAGCCTGTCCTGTAACTAGCTCTGTAGACCAGACTGTCCTCGAACTCATAGAGATCCCCGTGCCTCTGACTCCTGAATGCTGGGATTAAAGGTGTGTACCACCACCGCCTGGCTAATTTTGGAGTATTCTTGAAAATTGGATAAGAAAGTTTGTTGCCAAAGTTTGGAATAGCATATGATATAAAGTAAAAGTAAAAAATGAAATTTTGTCCTTAAAATAATATGCAAAGTTTTCTTGCAGAATATGGGGGGTTTGTTGGGCTTAAAATTACTCTTTGTGAGAATTTTGTTAAAACAGAATTACAGAGTTTGATTAATAATCCGTGTCATTTGAAGAAACACAGAAGCCGCTTTTAATTTATATTGTTTACTAAATTGTAGTGATGACCATGCTCAAAACTGACCACTACTGTGCAACCATTTTGTTTGTAATAACTGTTCAAATGTGGTACCCCAATTAGTAGAGAATTGTACCAGTCTGGATGGTCAGTGAATGACTTAGGAGATACTCAGTCTATAAGGTGCTTTCCACACAAACATGAGAGCCTAGGAGTGGTTCCCTAGGACCCACATAAAAGTCCAAGTGTGGCAGCACATGCCTATAATTCCAGCACTGAGAAGACAGACAGCTCCCTGAAGCACGCTGACCAACCAGTGTAGCAGAATCTCAACTTCGGGTTCAGTGAGAGACCCTGTCTCAAAAAATGAAAAATAAATTGTAAGGTGAAGTGCTGTTGAGAAGATACCCAGTACCAGCCTCCATCCATTCACAACTAGTGCATGCACATTGCATACATGAACACTTACACATCGATGTGTATGAACACTTACACATCGTATTCTGGTGTTCATTAAACTCGGTTCCTCTGCCTCTGGAGTGTGTAGAAAGTGTCAGTTACTAGGTGCCTAATTAGTTACCTCTCCTGGTTGTAGCACTTAAGGGCTTATTTTGGCTCTGCAGTTGAGGTGCATTCCAGTCTCTAGGCAACCATCACATTGCCGCTGCACCCCAGAAGCATTTTGCTTACCCTCCCCTGTGGGCTGGTGCCCCACCCCCTAGTTAAATTCTTCTGGAATCCTCAAAGACACCTAGGGGTCATTCTAAATCCAGCCAAGTTGGCAATAGGGATTTGCCCATCATGGTGCCTATTAAGATTTCCTTACTCTTTTTGGCCTTTTTGACTTTTTTCTACCTCTGAAGTTTTAAAGACAAAATTGCAGGAGTTTCTTACAGGTTTTAAATACTGATTTCTTAAATTTTGTCATAGGAGTACTTGAGACGGAGTTCTGCTATATATATAGCCCGGGAATCTTCAAACTCAATGTGTAGCTAGAGGTCTGAGTCCTGCCACAGATTTCCTAGTGCTGGAATTGCGGGCATGTACCTCAGTGCCTGAATTTCTTACTATATTCTTATATTACAAAACAGCTCCCAGTCCACAATATAGTCACCATTGTTGGTGATATCTTGGGGTTTTTTTTTTGGTTTTAAAGATTTAACATATGATGAAACCTCATTTATGCTTCATTATGCATTTATTTTTAATAAAATCTTCATGCCCAAGTCGCAAAGCTCTTCCATATTTACTTTTATTAACGGTATAAATTTTTCTTTACTATATAGACCCTTAGTCCCTCTTGTATTTATCACTGACTGTTGTATTCAAAGCAGATCCATCTACATGGTCTCTCTGCATCAACTATACAAGAGTAGTTTTTAAAACATTTATGTGTATGGGTGTTTTGACTGCATATATGTCTGTGTATCACATGTGTACAGTGACCACGGAGACACAACTAGAGTTAGAGATGATTGTGAGTCACCATGTAAATGCTGGGAATTGAACCCAGGCCCCATGGAAGAGCAGTCAGTACTCATAACCTCCAAACCATCTCTCCAGCCCCAAACCTACTTTTCTTGCGATCTGCAATGTAAACTTTTAACATGTATCAAGTTCCTGTATGTACAGGAGTTCTGAGCATCTGCAAAAGTTGTAAAGTTATAGTGAATACCTGTCTGTGTTCCATTCATTACTTACTGTAGTACCTGTTTTTATGTGTCATGTAAAACCTGCATGCATCTTAATATTTTATGCCAACATCTCTCCTATGGCATCTGTCTGAGTCACCTGCACAGGGCCCAGGAATTTACATCTCTAGTGAGATCTCGGGGGGCTACTGATGCTTACAGTCTGAGGATACCAAACTGCATTGCCTTAAGGATAATTCCTCTTTGTTCCTGTTTTTGGTTGTCTTGATTTTCTTTTCCCTGTGTTTCATGGTAAGTTTTTTATGTTTCATTTTCTAGTTGTGACTAATCCTTCTGAAAATAACTAAAATTAGGCAAAATATAAAATACTGACTTTTACACTACTGAACATAGGCTAGACAGTGGAGAATGGTGGTGCAAAGGGAAGGGGAAGAGAGTGGATGGCCTATAGTTATCCCTAAATTAACTACCTTGAGAAAATGTCTAGGTTATGGAACAGAAACGAGGAATAGAGACAACTTTTTTTTTAAAATGAAACTCTTGAGAATTTTGCCTATTTTGTATCTTAGAAATGTCAGTTTTGGCATACCTGCACTTTTGGTTATCCTATGAGAGTATAGACAGACTATCAGTTTCTTTTGATGCTGTTGCTTAGAGGTAGGTTTTTTTTTTTCAAAATTCCTTAAATTATACCTCTATAAAATGTTGACACTGATAATTGCATCACTTAAAAACAATTTAAGGAGAAATTACATTAGCTGTTTTGGTCATTTCAAACTATCTGTGAAGCCTTGTCTAAGGTAGAACTCATCGCAGTCCTATCTCAGCCTCCCAAGCGCTGGCAGTACAGGCATATCCTACCATGCCCAGCTACTGATATTTTAAAGTTTATGTGTTCAGGAAAGAATAGAAATGATTGAATATAAATAATTTTTTTGAGAGAGAGATAAGAACTCTCTTTAACCCAGGTTATTCTAGAACTCAGTATGATGCCCAGACTGGTCTTGAATTCATGGCAGTGCTTCTGTCTTAAGTTGCTGAGCTGGAATTACAGATGTGCCATCAAACTTTGTGAGTAATATCAGCTATGAAATTATCTGACCCAAGTGAGAAGGAAACACGCAACAAGTTCATTTAAGAGTTTATTAGAAGAAACCTGTACAGGCCTAGGGAAGTCAATGTGCAGAAAGAGGGCTGAAGATCGCGCATCCAGCTTTTAAAGGCTGCCTAGCACATGCACACGGGGATGACATAGCTACGTCATATGCTGATTACAGAGCTCACGCATGCGCGCAAGGGCTTAGTAACTGCATCATACGTAGGTGATGCAACCATGCTGCACATGGGTCATGCAAGGCCTTGTAAGGTCCCCGGAGAAGCCAGGTATTTTTTCCTGAGGGCTTGTCTGCACATGAGTGGCCTTGGAACCTGGAAGTGCCAGCCATGCCGGTTGGCTAGAATTATAACATTCCACCCTTTTGTTTATTCTAAAAATTTGGGGAGTTTGGGGTTCTTTAGTGGGTGGGAATGGGACATTGTAAGGTCTCTCATGGCTGCGTCTGCTGATTTTGTGGACATCGGAGAGTTGAGGTGTTTGGCCACATCCTGGGGTGGCTGATTACTTTTTGTTTTTTCAGGCTCTGTGGAACTGGCTGACTGGCAGCTTGGACCTCGCAAGATGCTGGAAAGGCAGAAAATTATGTCTGGAAAAATTTTAGATCCTGGAGATTGAGGGAGGAGAGTCTCAAGATGGAAGATGCGGGGGAGAGGTTGGGATAGAGGAGGGAATTTCCCAGGGGTTTCCTAGACCAGGAATGATAAGGGAAGAATTAAATGATAGTTATTCTGGACAAGTCTGGTCTATTTAGATAGGTCCAATTGGCTCCCTGGAGCTTATGAAAAAATGTTTGAAAAGAAATAAATTTTAGACGTATTAAAAGCTTATGATCATAATAGTATAGTGTTGGAATGGAGGGGAAAAAGAAGGGGAATTATTAGAATTATTAGAAATATTACAATTATTAGAAAGAGGAATTATTAGACCTCTCAATGTTTTACCTGAAACAAATCTTAAGGCACTTGTTTTCTTTAGCATCATGGTATGACCTTTACATCCAAGAGACACTGCTGCAGTCAGTGATAAACCTGTTACGTTAAAGTCTGTTTTGTGAGTTTTTGGGGTCTGGAACTGCAAATGTCCTCAAACTCATTATTGTTTCTTACCCACCTGGACTTTTTAGCAGTCCTTGTACCTCCGGCTCTATGTTTAATGATGGTCCCTCTGATAACATTTGAGTGGTTAACTGGAAATTTAAGTATGACATTGGAGATAGAGAAAAGTTGATAAAACAGATAGAAGAAGAAAAGGGAGAATATATGGAGGTTTTGGCACAGGAGAATTGAGTATGGTGATGAGACTTTTATTCTTCTGGAACTGGCGAAAAAGTGGCTGACTTTGGTGTCCTCTGGAACTTAAGGGAGCAGGGCCCTGTTTGAGTTACCATATACAGGGGGTATCTTGAGCTGGAAGAGTAAAAAGTTTAAGATGAGACAGGTAGATCCAATGAGAGAGTCCCTCAAGCTTGGCAGCTGTGGGAGTTACAAGAATTACTTTAAAGGGGTCCT